ACTTCTATTTTTCTCATAACTCTATTTTCTTATATTTCTATTTATATTACTTATTAAATATAAAATAATATATATATATATAAATAATTTTAATAATTTAAATATGACTTCTTAAATATTAATAAAAATCACTTATTGAAAATTAAAGTTTTACAAATTCAAAGAGATAATAGTATTTATGCCATGTAAAAAATATATGCCTTTTATCTTATCTTTTATTTTATTTTATTTTTACAGCCCCTTGTCTAATTTTCTTAAGTATAGAACCATCTAAAAGAGGTTTTTAAATTTCAACCAATAACAACCTTAGAAAGTTGTAACCACTTGTGTTATTTTAAGTTCTCTAGTCTAAACTCTCTTGTCTAACTATTATTACAATACCAATTGATGTTGTCTTATAAAAACTAGAAGATTCTTATCAAAAAATTTTATCAACAATAGAGTAAATAATGATGGTAATTTATGATTTGAAATTTGAACATCATTAAAGTTCAAATCTCTTTATTGTATCATTAACACCCTCAATGTTATCACCACCATAATTAGTTTGATGGTCAATGCTTATTGGATGTTGCTATTAATATAAAAAACACAACAAATTATTTGTGACATATGGTCTACTAAAACCAACTATGCATACTACATACCTTACATCAATCTCAAAACTCCCAAAATCAAGTAGAAAATGATCACTTTGATGATATTGTAAATTTAAAGCAATTTCTACTCTACCAAGTATATTTTTTGGAGGGAATAGAAGATGTGGCTAGTACTTTTTTACTCAGAGAAAATTACATAAATAACAACACAACGGAAAACAAATGCAAACTGATGACCAGTTAATCAGTTTGCTGAAAGCTTAATATCGGCCAGACAAATACAAAAGTGGTCAACATCAATCTTTTCGCCTCCCCCCTCCCCCCCCCCCCCCCCCCACGTCTGGAAACTGCAACTTCGCCTGCCTTGACTTGTGACGCCAATTCAATCAGCATCAATAGTTTCTTGATTGGCATCTGCAAATCCCACCTCAAACTCAAGTGAATACGGAGCTTATCTCAAAAGCTAATCAGGGTTACCAAAGCAGAATAACCCAGAACATAAAAAATTGGAAATCATGGAAACAAGACAAGGAATACTGCTGCAACACAACATGCTTTACAACATTAACCTTCATCCAACAGCAGGCAGCACCTTGGACTTAGGATACGAACCTCTGGACCAAGAGCTTGCAAAGCATTATCAATGTCTTCAGGTTCAAAAACGTTTTGAGCTTCCAAAACCTGCAATACAAGATCCACAATCAGAAAAAAATTAATGCAGGTGCCACATGTGGAGTTACAGTGCACATTGTACTTCTGAAAATATTTCGACGTTTGGGTTCTTCGGTATGAGCTTCTCGATAATTTCCAACTTGTATTTATAAAAAGACCAACTTTACCTCCTTCATGTCGCCCGATCTCAACATTGGAACCTCCAGATGCACGTAAAAAGATTCCAACAACCCCACCGACTCAAGGATATGTCTCTCCAAGGTCCCAATCATGAGGAGCTTTTTGCCCTGCAGTGAAAAAATGCGTCCACAATCAAATGAACAATCAACTCGGATGAAAGCAGTGGTATACGTCAAGTGCAATGTATATGTTTGTGTTCGAAATCTCTGGTCCTAAGAAGCGATGACTCTACTTATAATGGATTATAAATTGGATGAGAAACGGCAGGTGCCTTAAACAGCCGAAAACATCACATTTTCTTCGCAACTTACAGGTCCATAACTAAACATGTAATCTATTACGAAGGTTTAGGGACAACTTAATTTTGGAGGATTCCTTTTCAGTAGAACATGAAGTGTATTCAAAATAAGGTTCGAGAAACGAGGGCCCAATCTACTATACTCTATCAACCTGCACAAGGGTGACATTCCGGGATAATTATTTGTTGTAGATACTCTCAAATGCTGTAATTGACAAATTTCACGTCTCTTTCCCTATCGATGAGCGGGGCCCAAAGTAACCCACCCTCCAACTTGCAATTGTCAACAACAGAAAACAAACAAAATACATCATCAATTAGAAACTACCGTCACTGCAATTCAATGTCATTAATTTAATGCTCTGACCTTTCAATGTCACCTAGGATGATGATACTTAAAGGAGACTTGTAAGCATCCTTGAACACCTGCAAAGTCATTGCAACCAACATCAATCACGAAAGCGCACAGAGAAATGCACGCAGAACAGACGACAAGAGACATGAGAGTTGCAGGCGCACCAGTCGCCAATCCTCTTTGTGATGCTAAAACCAAGAAATTAATATTACCTTAAACTTAGCCAAAACACGAAATGTACCTTTTCAATCATAGCAACTTTTTTAGGCTCTTGCAAGCCGATCATGTTCTTTGGAGATACCTGGAATACATATTTGAAGTTAACACAACCACCAATACCAACAGCACCAATTTCAAGCAGGAATACCTTTTCACATGCTTATGTCTCGCTGCACTTGCAACCTCCTGAGAAAAAGTGACGTGTCTATTTGCATAATTAGAGAGTGTGACCACATTTTTCTACAGGAAATAAAAGCATTGAACATACAATCTTTACGAACGGAATCCCACTTTCGTTGGCGATCGTTGCAGCAAGTGATGTTTTTCCCCTGCACATTATCCAGTAAGGCCGCTTCAAACATGATGTTCGTATAGCATGTACAAATCATTGTAATCTGAACATGTTAAACTAGAAGGAATTCACTAAAAGCCCTATTTCTGCTACACATGCCTTTTAGTAACTTAATTACTTGCAAAAAATGAGGAGAAGAAGGAAAAGAAATCAACAGGTCGTGCTTTATCATCTTCAAAATCTGAAGGGTGAAATGACCGCTTACGTGCCCGGAGGTCCTTCCAGAATACATGTCATGAGGGATGTGCCATCACTTTGCTTAACTTGCTCCACAAGCGCTCTTCCTGTTCTCAAAATACATTTGTGGGCTTCACCGCACTGCAGCATGGCGTCCGGCCTGATAGAATTTAAACACCCAACAGGATATGTAAATTTGAGAACTGCGGCAAATAGAATTCGCAACCGGGGTATATGATGTTCACATGCAAAAATAAGACACCTTCAAGAAAGCACCTGCTGATCCCCATCGTGATAATGTCTTTATCAAATGCAGGTTTCACTTCATCAAGAGCCATCAAAAAGTCGTGCATTGTTACTTCAATATTACCCCCGTCCACTGATTTTGAAAGATCGAATAAATCCACTTTCCTGATGCAAGATTACGAAGTCTAGAATTTGTGAGTCACCAGCAGGAGGTATGCTGTAACATTTAATAAACATATCAGAAGTGAAGATTTCGTTAGTAAAACTTCCTCGCCGCCTACTAGACAACGTTGACAATGCATATCCGAAGTGAAGTATTCGTTGGTAAAACCAAAGACCTAAAGTCTAATTCTGACATGAAGAAGCGAAGAAACAAGGTACAATTTGCATGCAAGAGGATAATACTAGCTCTCTGTGTGAAGATTAACCATTCTCTGTTTAGAGCAAAAGAGGTTGCACTCATTGTCAGAATTTTTAATTCTTCTCCGTTGAAGTTCTCGGTCAGGTGGGCTGCATCAAAAAAAAGAAGTCAGTTGCTCCGCTACAAGAAGAATTTCCATGCACAAGACTAACTCTATCATTGATTTAAGCTATCTATCCTTGCTACCTGCGGAGGAGGTAGCAAAAAAACACTACATCGATGAACATACATAAACTTCTTGAGGCTAGAAGCGTACCGAGTTCGTGCAGATCTACTTCAGCGCCCAGATAGCCGTTTTCCTTCATATCGTGCTAGAGATTCCTCAAAATCAGAGAGCGAGCTGCTACCGCCATTCTTAAGCCGATTTCGGATGGAACCTCCATACGTAGTCACCTTCAGGAAGGAAGATCAGACTAGCAACTCAATCTACTAAATCAGCAACAAACAATGAAGTTCTGCCAAAGTTCCTCAATCTATTACACACTCGCCTACGAAAATCCAAGCTCAAAATCGGACTAGAAATACAAAAAACCACTCGAAACAACTCATGAACCTGCGCGCAGCAATTCTACCATGATCACGAACACCAAAGCACCAGCTTCGGCACCATAGCCCCAGCTTCGGCAGCTTCCCGGCCCATCAAAGTCTACGACTGGCTCAAGGGCCTGCTACGGTTTAATATTCCCATGTTCAAGTATTCCAATGTTGGAATAATTGGCAAGGTTCCAGCGGGCAGGCATTCGTTCGCATTCATACTTATTCTCCTTAACTCTCACTACTACCTTTCTTATTCCAATATTTTTACTTAGTCAACTTTTGTTTTTATTAAAAGAAATTAGTATTTAAAAACCAGAAGATTCTAATTAAAATATTCTATTAACAATAGTGTAGATGATGGTGGTAATTTGTAACTTGAGATTTGAATGTCATTAAAGTTTAAATCTCTTCATTGTATCAGTAGCACCCTCAATGATATCACCACCATGACCAATTTGATGGTCAATTAATTTTTGGATGTTGCAATTAATATAAAAATACAAAAAATTATTTGTAACACATAGTCTATTTAAACCAAATATGCACACTACATACCTTACACCAATCTCAAACTCCCAAAATCAAGTAGAGAATGATTACTTTGATGATATTGTGAGTTTGAAACAATTTCTAATCTATTTAGTATATTTTCCAAAAGAATAGAAGATGTGGCTTGTACTATTTTAGTAATATATATATATATATATATATATATATATATATTTATATATTATTAATATTTAAAATAATTATTATTAATATTTAAAATTCATAACAGCTGATCCAACACCAAATGTATCAATCACCTGTGCGAAGTAATCAAATCACGAAAGCTAGAAATCATTGACATATCCTTATGCAACATCCCAAGACAAAAGAGCGAACTGAAGAGGTAGGTAACACCTCTGTAAGATACACGGCACAAAGCAAACGGAACATGCCAGTTGACACCAGAGAATGACTCAAATTATGATGCTCATGGCGCCAATAAATTGTGCATATAACCTGAAAACGTGCTGAAGAAGTCCCCTTAGCATTCGAGGTCGACATAACACCGTTTCTCGAAGTGCATACAACAGAGACCCAAATCAACACAAATTTGCGTCCCTCACAAACAACGGGTAACACCTACTACTCAATATTAGGCTAAATCAAGCTGCAATATATTTGCGCGCCATCCCAGAAAAGATGACCACACAGCAGCACCAGCAGCAGCCGCCAGACTAGTCCCTCAGATGGCCTCGAAATACTCCTTGCTTAGCTTCGAGTCAGGCTTCATCGTTTTTTCCCCAGGCTTCCAGCCAGCAGGGCACACCTCGTCTGGGTTATCTTGCACGTACTGTACGGCCTGAGAACAAAAATAGCAGCTTCAGCCACACGCTCACAAACAGAAAAATTAGCCCTACCAGTACCAATTGCAATATCGAGATAAACATCCTATGTCGGCCTCACCAAAATGCTTTACACGTTCATTGTATACGATATGAGGCTCTTAGATGGACCCTCCATCTAAGGACGATTGTACCATACGAAATCTCAGGAATGCTATAGGTGTTCCTAAAGGTTGTCAACTACAGGATGGGAAGACGCTGAGCGACGAACAGCTCCACTCCGAAACCACTCGTGCCATTAGGCTAACTGGGAATTGCTTCTAAACCCAGTCTCAGCATGTTCCAAAGTAGACTACCCTTTCCACCTACCTGCAGAGTCCGCAGAGTTTCGTCAACGCTTCGCCCAATACCAAGGTTGTTGACGGTTGCGTGCTGGATCACTCCCTGTTTGTCAATGATGAATAGACCCCTCAGTGCGATGCCCTGCCAAAATAAATCCCAACTCAGTCGGGGAACACCCACCGGATAATGCTTTGCTCTGCTCTGCTCTGCTCAGCTCTCTCTCTCTCTCCCCTTCAAACAAAAAAAAACCCAAATAGAATAGTATTATAATATACTGTTTTGATCAAAGTAAATAAAGACATAATAAAAAAAACGAACATTTTCCACTGCAAACAAACTTCAAAGTCAACAAGCCATTATTACTCTCTTTAATACCTGCTCCGGAATCAGTACATTAAATGACCTAGAAATCTTTTTGGTAATGTCCGAGACGATGGGATAATGCAGGTCCCCGAGCCCTCCTGCCTTTCTATCAGTTTGGATCCAGGCGAGGTGAGAGAACTGCAGCCATTGCCAAGGTCACATGCTTAGTTGGGTCTGCTCCAACTGGGAACCAGCCAAAAACTGCACTACGTCCATTCCTTATCTCAGAGGACAAGCCGCATCCAAACAATTCTGATCCACATCTCGCCTCAACATCCATGCACCTCACCGTTCCCCTCACCCCCGCTACATCACATCACGACACACAATTGAGATGAAATAGGATGAATTCATACCACGCTGTCAGTGGAAACACCGATAACTTCCGTGCTTAGCTTCTCGAATTCGCTGTACCTGTCACTGAAGGCAGTGATTTCTGCAAGCTCACGTTATGGCCTAAATCTAGCTCACAAATCACTTAGCATTCACACCGGAAGTGTGTCACTACCGTCGAAAACGCAATTATCTCAATGACTTGAAAGTTGGAGCTATAAATAAAAACACTGGAAAACTACTCCCCTGTACAGCCCCTTGCTCACCTCTGCCCAATGTTCCCCACTAATGCAAAGAAGACTAACCCCTCCTCTGAACAGAACAGGACAGGAAGGGCATCCAAAACCCGATGAGTACCTGTTGGACATACGAATGTGAAGTCCAAAGGGTAGAAGAACAATACGACGTACTTCTTTCCAATGTACTCGGACAGCTTAACCTGCATGTAGGCAAAACCGATCGGTCAGTCCATCCACAAACGTAATATTGATGATTGTATACATACCTCCCCGAATTAGCTACTCCCACGATCTCCCATGCCACATACAACATGACATGACTAATACCTTGTACAAGCGAAATCGCTCCCCGAGCTGAAACTAGTTGCTGTGTGAACTAGGAAGGCATAGAATGTAAACTTTGCACAAGCAAGGTTGCTCCCGAAGCCGCACATGACCAGAAATTCACTCAGATGCCCCATGAGACAGACACTGTAAAAAACAAAATTGGAGGAATGGGATAGTACTTGAAATGGCTATTTCATACTCTAATAGAATACAGAATCGCACATATGGGAGGCACGAGACTCGGCAACAACCAGAACCGTGATCGGAAAACTGAACGGTTGAAACATGCCTTAATAAATTCCTGGTCGAACACAGCCTCCGCCTCGAAGTCTGGGGCAACATTACCAATGAGTGGCTCGTAGCTGTCCTGCGCCTGCATGGACACTCCACAAACCAGTTATTACCTCCACACAACGCTCCTCCCCTATTCCGCCCACCCTTCGATGATCTCCAGCAACCATCCACATAATCGCGACACGGAAGGGCGGAGAATTCACGACATGCATCACGTAGCATCTATTAATCCGTAGACCCTGAGCCCCGGATAGTAATCGCCATAGGACACATCAACACCCACAACGAAAGAGTCACCCACATTTTGGGCTAAGAAGTTGCTGTCAGGAGTTTGACCTAACGCCTAACGCTATTCATTCCATCTCCTTAATTTCGCTCATCTCACTCACCGAAGCAGTGATCACACCCCGCTTCTGCGACGCGATCTTGACTCCAGCTGCCGAAGCAGCCTTGCCAGTGGGTGCATTGGTAGCAGCCAGGCGAGCAGCAAAGCTTTTGCTCAGTCCGGAGAACGACTTCCGCACGGACAAAGAGGAGGATGCGCCGGAGGCAGAGGACGAAAAGGCCGCAGGGCGAGCATGGGCGATGTTGCCCGCGGGGAGCGTGACGCCGGAGGCTGCTGCAGCACACGCCATGGTCGTAAGACGATTTGCAATAGAACAATCCCCACGCAACGCGAAGAATGTGTAGGAGGCACTTCTGGAGCCCACGATCGTAAAAGAAAAGAAAAGAAAAGAAAATGACGGGCGGGGCTCCCGAGACCTTGCCGGTTGGATGGCTGCCTAGCCCTCCCTCCGCGTCCTCTATTGATATCCGCTCTCCCACCACTATATCAATCTCTCTCTCTCTCCCCCCCCCCCCTGATTCGGGCTCTATCCCCATGGATTCACAAATCCTGGCTCCAAGGATTGTTTCCAAGGATAGTAGGAATCTAACATGGAGTAAATCTCATAGATCCACAAGATTTCTTTATTTTTGTGTTTGGAGATTTTTCCTATGCAAGGATTATTTATTTTACAAAATGCTTTGGTGGTTCCAAGGTGGTATTTTGAACAATATTGATATCTTAAATAAGATTTTTTTATATAAGAGACTAACAACAAATAGATAAACAAAGTCCACTTGATGGTTGAATTTTTTTTAATTCTTATTTTATTAACTTTGATTAGTTATTTGGAGTTTATATAAGAAAAAATAAAAAATAAAAGGATATTATTTAGTATTTACTAATAAATAATAATAATAATAATAATAATATTTAATATCCAAATGAATTGGAATTCACAACAAGTTTATTTATGCTTAATTGCAAGATTTTTTTACTATCTATGGCCCAAAAGATTCTATCTATAATTTTTTTAAAAAAACAAACTGTTTAATACTTTAAGTTTTATTCCTATGATGTCTCTATCTATCTATCTATCTATCTATCTATCTATATATATATATATATATATAATGAAATTTATTCATGAAATTTATCAAAAATATTATAGATTTCTATGTTTCAATCTAAATTATCCAATCACTCTGAAATTTTCTCATTATTATTATCATTGTTATATTTTATGAAATTTTAAATGTGAGTAATACAAATGACTTTTTAAGAAAATAATTTGATGCATAGATAAAAATGGTTGGCAATCTAAGATCATGGTTGAAAATGAGGTTATTATGATTTATTTTTTATTTTTTATTTTTTTATATTGAATACGTGATTTACTTTAAGAATGTTTTAACATTAACAAAAACACACACACACACACACACACACACACATATATATATATATATATATATATAGTTAATAGTGATGAGAGAATTATGGAAAAATAACAATACATGCTTTCAGTATTATAAAATGTATTTTATGAAAGATTTTTAAAATAGTAATCCCACTGATTTAGTCCATTACATAAACAGGTTTGTTTTTTTAAATGATTTAGATTTTAAGAAAATATAGGCTACTTACTTTTTTTTTTTTTTTTTTTTTTTTTTTAACAATAACAAAAAGGTTGATAAGAAGTATTCAATTTAATCATAACTTACTGTCAGAAGAGAATATTTGAGCTTGTACAGGTACTAGTAAACCAAGATATTTGAATAATAATTAAAAAGTTATATTAAAAAAACATACACAACACATAGATGTGAATTCCATTTCTTAAAAAAGAAAGCATCAGGTTAAAATTGATTTTTTTTCCTCCTTTTTTCTTCTTTCATAATCCTGAGATAAATAATGAAGTATAAACTATATTTTGCACAGAATCATGTTGTTTCAAAATGAATCTGTTAACAATCCTTACCAATTTCAAACCCCCTTTCCCTCCTCGGCCTCAACAAGAGTAATCTGAAACAAATAAATAGTTAAATCAAACACGCATTCCATCAAAATTTATCAGAAATTCAGCCAATTACTCAACACATCCAAAAAGTTCACCAAAGCAATTATTCAAAACCATCAAGCCCCACAGCTTTCCTGTCCCAAACACCCCAAAAAGCTTGTATAGAAAAATGATATGAAACGGAGCTTTGTAAAAATTTGTCTGCTTTGGCCAGGGCAAATCCAGCAACACGGTTGGAGGTGCCCACGATGGAAGGCGGACAAGGAGACGGCCACGAGGGACAAGACGTGGAGAGGCCGAGTGCCAGCGTGGAGCGCATCGCCCCGAACTAGGACATTCCACCATCTCTGACCCTGGAATGCCCCGATCGGGAATCTTCATATGGGATTTGAGATTCCTGGAGGCCATTGCGTGGTACCATAACGGCTCAGCCCAGCCGCTGAAAGATGCCATGCGGTTTTCTGAGCGTTGAATCCACTTTTGTGCATGGTACGAATACAAGCTTCCAAAGCTCGATTCGCGTAGGTTTCTGTATCACATTTCTACCCTTCCGAGAATCAGTGGCGGTGCTCGTATTTCCCAAAAGTATAATGAGAGTTTGAACGTTTAGGAGGGCTAGTACTGCGATTAGTTGGGAGATTAGGGCGAGTAGAGCGGTAGTTGTCATGAATTTGCTCATGTTTTGGTAGCAAACTCGTTGCGGCGAAGAGAATTTTGATTGACGTTGAGCGAGGAAGAAATCTACCGCTCTGTGCGTACGTGTGAAACATGATTAGCTCGGGGAGAGATGTATCTCCGTCGATCTTTCAAGCATAGACCCTGCCCATTTGGAAAAGTCTCGATGACGTTGACTAAGACTTGAGTCTTCCTTCTTCTTGTACTTTTTTTTTTTTTTTTTTTTTTTTTTTTTTTTTTCTGCTTTTTCTGGAGTGTATTTTCCTGTGGAATTCTAGAATTGTCAAGTCATATGAGGCCTGGTCGTTTTTCACAAACAAGTGAAAGAACGAATTGTCTTGAAAGAGGGGTTCCTCGTGGTCTTGGCCCAGGCGGTCAACTTCGACTGCTAAAGCACAGGCTCTCATATGTTGACCAATCTCCTTAACAAGACGCAACCTGTACATGCCCAAACGTAGTGGAAAAAGAGTCCAAAAGGGATTTGTGATATTCCGGTGGGTCAAACTCCCACGGATTCTCCCCCCTGTATGTGCCAGTCCTCCTTGTGGAACTGCTCTGGACAGCGCTGCAGATTATTGTTCATGAAGTCGTGGAGATCTGCATGCGTTCCTTGCTCCCAACCCTCCTGCACAGAGTTCAGTTTTTTACGACTTTTTGGGCATTTCTTGCACATCCCTGAGCTGCACGCAAAGGGTGGCTGAGAAGAATTTGCCTGTGGGTGTTTCTGAGAGTTGTCCGTGAATGGTTAGTTGAGGAGACTGTTGTGAGGTGGAGAACTTTCATGCACTCATGTGAGACGAGGGTCGTTGAAATTGTGAAGAAGACGGAGTGAACCGACGAGAATTTGTGCGGCTCTTTGGGGCGCAAGATGGCAGCTGAGACAATGGATGCGCAGGTCGAGGATAGGCTTGCGAAGATGGGTGTGTTTGGGTTGATGAAGGAAGCCACAAGGCTAATTGTCCAGAACTTTTGGCTCTTCTTCAGCTTTGTGACCAGCTTTACAATCCCTTGCGGCATCTTCACCGTCTTCTTGCTGTCAGCCGTTGACATTCGCCACCGCTACGGAATGGAAGAATTCATTTCAAGGGTTAGGACACGATGACTATTCCCTATTTGTGAAACCTTCAAGATTGGGATGAAATCTTGACTTTATGGGCTAGTTCATGAGTCATCCTGAGCGAATCCTCCATCAATTTTCCAAATTTAGTTCTAGCGGTTGTTTCGTTCATAGTCAAGAGCACCTCACTGTCTTTTCACGGACACGAGCTATGCAGAGGATTTTGGACGAAGTTATCAATTATGTTATGTTTCTCCTCTTCATTCATTACTTACACCGCTTTTCAGGTTCTGCGTCTCATGCGTGAAGCATTCAAATTTAGTTACCAATTTCTGGTCAGATTATTTGGGACCAATGCCATTTTCTAGGATAGGCGCCAAGGAAGTAACAACCTGGTCCGTTGTGCATGTGTGCAGGGAGAGGTGGTAATTTTGTGGTGGAAATTTGAGACCCTGCTTTCGCCGCTAGCCCTCAACTTCATTTTCATAATCCTCAACCTTCTACCTATGGCTCTACTAAATGCCGTTGTATGTACCCGAGGTGTCGTGGAATGTTACAAGGGTGACGATTTGAAAACGGCGATTAAGAACAGCTTCATTGACCTGCAGTGGGGGGTGTTGAGATTGATTACCACTCAATTTCTGTTCTGCGCATACTTGTTTATCGCCATGTATCTTTTCCTTTCTCATGAGCATGATCCAACTCTGGCCAGAATAATCAGTATCTCACGATGGGCTGCTCTTGGTCTTTTTCTTGTATTCCTCTACCCACTGCCTGCGTCACAAGTTGCCATATTGGAGCCCAAAAACTATGGCCTACGAGGAATTATGCGAGCTGCACGGTTAGCATTCACGAAGTTGTCCACTGCGTTGGGGCTAGCATTCTTCTCTTTATCATACTTGGTCCTGCTCAAGGGTCTAGTGGAAATCGTGCTCAGTGTCCCGCTCCCACCGAGATTCAAATTTCTAGTTTATCCCCCGCTCGTGGTATTTGTCGTTACCATGACCATCTTTTGGCAAGTTGTGTATGCTTTGCTTTATCTCTCTGCCAACGCACACCTTGAGTTGGAGAAGACTCTCATCCGGCCGGCAATGGTGGAAAAAATACAAGCTTCCGACATCGATCAACCCCTTCTTGTAAGTTGTTCAACCACATAAAAAAGAAGTTTCTACTGAAATTGTAAAAAGTTGGCATGCCTGTCGTCCAGTTCAACCAGTTCAAGACATATGAGGAAGTTTTACAGGACTTCAATGATTGTAGCATCTGGTTGGATTTGATGCAGACTAATGAAGTTGGTAACAGTCAGGAAGATTCGAGGAGCTGAGTATAGAGACCGATCTGGAAGGTTGGTAAGTAATATTTGCTCAATCCATGACTTCTTCCAACTCCCAGTCTACAAAACGGGTTGGTTACTGACAACAACGTGGTTCAGGAGGTAAAGTAATTGGGTAAGACTGAAAGAGAATAGTGAGATCAACCGCTTGTTGGCATCAGTATCATCGAAAATATCTCTGAACAGCCATCAAGAAAATATTATCGGAATGAGCAAAAATGATGCATTGCCTCAAGTGCGTCCATCTGTGTAGCACCCAATTTTTTTTGGGAAACTGACACCATAGTTGATTATTCTCTGTGGACTAATCATTCACGGCCTCGTTACTTCCATCGTTATATCAGCAAGGCGGTTGAAGCGTTAGAGGAATGCTGAACGAGCGCAGGCAGCTGTTGACATCGACACGAGATTCCGGCATAAGCAGCATGTATTTTAAAACAGCATGTTTAGCTCCATAAAACCCTTGATCTAAGACTGATGAGCTCATGATGAATAGAAGGACTCCGTGAACCTTAGTAAAAAAGAAGAAATAGACAAAAAACCTACATGTCTTATTCACTGCTTCAACACGCTTAAGTGCAAGTTCGTGGTTGATTTCTGGTTGTTGCCGCGTTGCTTGTTGCTCCTCAAATTGCTCAGCTGTCCTCATCGTTGTAAATCATATTATAAACCCGTGCATGAAAAGCACACCGGTAATGTGCTAAAGTAGCCACGGCGAACCCGTTGAGCTAAGAGGTGGCTGAACAGTCTGGGTTGACCTTGAATTGACATAACAATTTCTTCAGCACAAGAAACTTCAATAGCCTTGCATATTCCCTTGCATGGAAATCTGTCTCCCTTTACACACATACACACACATTATGTATGTGTAAACATACCCGGGCTCCCAACTAGCACTACCAGAAAAAGAAATGCTGAAAATCATCATGATAAATTCAATTGAAAAGATGAAATACAGTTTCCACGTGGAGTATGGTTACCACGATTGAATTGGCTTTATATTTCTAGACTTAAGCAATCACTCAAAAACCATGTAAATGGCACTACGGATTGCCAAATTAATGTGCATGAAACTTACGTTACGGGATGCTTTCAATTTCTCAACGCGAAGGGCAGCGATAAATCAGAATTATGCTTCAAACTTCGGAGATTTCGTGGAATATTAGGCCCAGCTTAATGAGTGTTTATAAACAGCCACACTTTTGCTTCTAATACATACAATTGGTTTTTCTCTGCGCACGCAAAACTGCATCTTTCACAAGCAGCCTAAACTTTAGCAGTTTCCGCAGTCTTCGCTTTTGCGACTTGCTTTGGCAGATGTCCGTGCTTGGTCCAAAAAGATCACCTCTCTCTTCTCAAGCTGCGTTTCACAAGTACAGTTTCGACAGTCTTTCACTGAAAGGAGCACATTGATGTGACTAACTCCTAATTTGGAATGTTTCTTTGTGGACTTCTCTATGCTTTTTGTCAAGTAGAGAATATGTGAAAACTATTAACTGTCAAAAAACTCAGTCGCGTCAGTCGACACCTCAGCGTTTCTGCGTGTAGTGTTAATCCACAGTTCAAGTGAGTGATCATAATATCGAGGTCATAGCTAAAGTGAAGAACACCCAGCTGAAATAAGATCGCAGGTGCTTATACCGCAATGAGCTCGAAACCTAACAAGCATGGTCCTTCTCTTGCACATACCATGGCCATGTCGACAAGCCCCCTGACTTTCGCGCTCCACCAAGGAGCTCGATATCTAACAGGCTGTGGTGCTGGAATTTGCTCCTCGGAGCAGGGATATGTTTGAAGAAGCATTGATGTCGCCATTACTTCAAAACCATTTCATCGCTTTGCCCGGCCGGAAGCTCACAATCATATCTCCCAGCACCACCTCCAAAACCCAATAAATTAGTACGACGACTTTAACTAGAATCATCTTAAAACATTCTAAAAATTTAAGATGACAGTGATCGTCGGTAAGTAGAACTTGTGATTCTGTCATCTCTGAACTATGTGGATTCCTGCGTACGACCTACAGCGTAATTTGCTGAGACACATACAGTATTCTTTAAGCGATGCCACGATCGCCAGTCACCCTTCAAACACGAGTGCAAAATTCCGCCGCTGGGCAATCTCGTTCAACGCCACAGACGAGGACCATATCTCAATAAAACTTCCACAATATTTTATACGTATCAATTGCGCTTGGGCACCTTTGTTCGACTCGTTAAAGGTCGATGAGCGGCTGCGTAGTCCAAGTGATTGGGTGTGCCATTTGGAAAAATCGAACAGGTTGAGAAACCATACGATTTCTAAAGTACGCAATTGAGTAGTCAATTCCCGATGTCAAAGAAGAAAGTGCGTTGACCTCGACAAATTGCCACTTCCCGCGATGTTCGATCTGTCACTCGAAGTTTGTCATGTCTTTGCTAATTATTAACTAAACATAACTCTGGTAGAGTAGATATTTGTTTCAACCCCCGCATGTGAGAGTTATTCTCAATAAACCAAAACGTAGGTTTAAAATTCAAACTTGAGAATTCTAACATTGTTGAATTTAGGTTTTGTACTATGTAATTTTTTTTCACCACGAAGGTTTGTCACGCTCTTTCACAGGACATTGAAGAATTTAGGGCAACATATTTTGAATCCAAAACCTTCCGTTTTTCCCCAAAAAAGCTCTTTTACTCTCACCATGAGATTCACTGAACATCTATTCCTCAACCTGAAAATCTCAGATTCTCCTTTCTTCCACAGGAGACGATCTTGAAATACTCTAATCTGTTGCGTTTTCAAAGAATAAATTCCCAGATGGAACCCACATTTGATCCTTAGAATTCGCTGACACCAGTTCATCCCAGTTGTTGGCAGCGACTGATATGATGGTTATCATTCGGTCATGAAATTAAAAACAATGAACTGCCGTCAGTGAATTGTTCATTCCCTAGAGTCGCACATAACTAGGCTTTGCCTCTCGGTTTTTTTTACAGATTGAGGGCAAATTCAGTTGCTGCTGACTGCTACCTTATGTATCACCCAATATTCGTTTTACTCGCCAAGGCGGCGCTGGGATGCACCATTGTCAGACATTGGTTTGCCTCGAATCTTCCATACTTTGGTGGAGTACATAGTGTCAATTTGGGCTTTAATGGCGAAGGGTGGAAAGCAGTGGCTGTACCTTGTCCTTCTGAGCTGAGCAGTCTCCAGCAAGAGAGGCGAACTGGTAGCAATTTTGAGGACTGACTAGGGTTGGTATCCTGATTGTGGTGTTTTCTTAGTGGCGAGCTTGGAGGGATTGGGTTGAGGTGTTCATTTGTGTTTGTGCATGTGTGGGTTTTTATTGTGGCGCGCAAGTCGGGAACTCCTTGAAGGTGTGCAGGGCTCGGAGAAGGGTAATTGGAGTGCTTTTGTTGAATGGATTGAAACCGGTGATTCGTAACTGTGGATTGTAGGAATAGGTTATGGTGGGGCACAGAGTTTTGTGAGAGGGGCTGAATCTTTGGAAACAAAGTAATGTGATTGTGGGACGGGAGGGATGAAGCGGCAACAAGTCATCTCGCGCTTCTTTACACCCAAATCTGTTGCTGCTTCCCCTGCCACTCCCTCTCCCACTGCATCGACCTCCACTGCCTCTAAACCAGCAGGTGCGAAGCAGAGCTCCAGCGGTTCTGGAACTCGACCGCTTGTGCGCATTCCGCCGGCCTCTTTGGAACCTGCTGGACCCGTGGGTGGAACACTACCATCTTCAAGAAATCTTAGTCAGGATTTTCCATTTTCGTCTACCGGAGTGAGATCTACGAAAAAAAGATCACACAATGAGGTTGGTAGTATTGAGAAGGACCATTGTGGCACAGAGGGCAGTCAGGAGGAGAGGACTCTTACTTCAGGTTGGCACTCGCACACCCGTTTTATTGCAAAGAATTCTAATTGATAACAACACAACTTTCGATTGTAGGGTTGAGGAATCTGGTTTGTTATGGGAGAAGGTTTGCATCCTCACAGAGGCTAGGTTTCGCAAGGCTTTGTCCTTCATGTAGTAAAGCTAACATTCGAAGTCTTTAGATGTATGTTTATTGGCAAGTGTCGAAATACAACGGCTTCTGTCTTCTTTACAGAGCTTTGCAAAAGCATAGGGTTTTAGATTTTTGTTCGTGGTTCAGTCTGTCTGTATAGTTTGAGAACTTTATTTCTCAATTTGCTGTGAGACATGTCGATCGTTTTCAGTTCTGCAGGAAAATTGGTTGTTTTTTCAACAGTACGAAAATGCTGAGGAACCAACGAATTCCATCACGAAGTACCAATCTAAGGATTTCTAGTTACTGTGTTGTTCTCCTTCTTGAAAACCTTTGTATTGCATTGATAAGCCTTAAGTTCTTCAGGAGCTTGAGGCTACAGATATATATCTTAGAGATAGCACTATACCAAGAAATGTTGAAGATTACCGGTGCGTGCTAATCTGAAGGCAATTATGTGTACATTTTACTTTCCAGTTTTCTGTTTTAGGTTAATGATTACTGTCGCGATGTGGTCGTTGTGCAGTCAGTGGAAGTGATGGCAGTTTAAGAGCTGGTCCTCTGCGCAAGAAGCGAGCGATCACAAAAGCTGTGACACCTATTGTGGCTCCTAATGTGGCAGAAGTCGAGGCACCTGACATTCCTATATCGGATCAGGAAGTCTTAGACTACCCCGAGAAAGATGATGAGATTTCTGAATTGCAACTTCAGAGAGAAGCTCTGCGTGGCGGAGTACCTCAATCTATCACTCCAGATACTGAGAATGGATCTGCTAGCGGAAGTGGCATTGAGGAACCTGTTCCCTCGTCTCCTCATCAACCTATTGGGATCCATAAAAAGAGGGGTTGGGCTGCGAACAGTGCAACAGTAATCCCAGCTGTTGATCCTGATCGTCACAGAAAATTTGTGGACAAATTGTTGGCACGAAATAATGAGAGGATAACAGAGGAGGAGATTCGGTATGGGAAGCCACCTTCAGGCAAATTGACATATACTCCTCTTGAGCTTCAAGTTTTGGAACTGAAGGAAAGGTAAAGAGGAATGTTTCTAGTACCTTATCGTTGTGGAAGCCTCAGTTGGAAACTTGTGTATTTGTGTGACAACATGTGAGCATATTTAAATGTGCTAACAGCAAAGAAACAGAGTTGGGGCAAGTTTCTGTTCAGGACGATTCCCTGCGATCGTATTACGTGGAAACCCGGTTATTACAATTTTACAATATTTTCTCATTTACAAGTGGAACTTGTCTTCTCTGAGTCAAATTTTTGGTATGCAGGTATCCTGATGTACTGCTTATGATTGAAGTAGGGTACAAATTCAGATTCTTTGGAAACGATGCAGAAACTGCTGCTCGTGTACTTGGCATCTTTGCGTACTACAATCACAATTTTCTGTCTGCAAGTATACCAACGTTTAGACTCCACGTTCATGTTCGAAGATTGGTGGAAGCTGGGTACAAGGTTGGAGTTGTGCGACAGACAGAAACAGCTGCCATTAAGGCCCATGGTACAAACAAATCAGGACCTTTTACCCGTGGCCTGTCAGCTCTGTACACCCGCGCAACCCTTGAGGCTGCTGAGGACCTAGGAGGTGATACAGAGGATCATGTAGGTCGTCTGCACAGCTACCTTATGTGTATTGCGGAAGATCCCATATTACAAGGTCTTGGCAGTAGCAAGAGTAAGCCGGCAAATTCAAAGAGTAAATCTGCTGAAGTTGACGATGATAAAGGTGGCTACTATGACGCACGATTAGGGGTCGTGGCAGTAGATCCTGCAACAGGGGATGTGATGTTTGGAGATTTCAAGGACAGTGTCATGCGTAACGAACTCGAAGCACTGTTGCTCACATGCGCGCCTGCGGAGTTGCTGTTGGCAACTCCACTTTCCGCAGCAACTGAAAAGGTGGCTGTCTCATACTTGTTATCTCTGTTAAAGTCCACAAATGTCTCTGTTACAGCAGCTTTACTGGGGCCAGGTGCCGGTATAAACGGCTATACTACCGACTATATACATTTTAAAGTGAACACCAAAACTCAATATGGATCATTTGTTGTCGTTTTGTTTTTGAAAAAAAATATTGGCTACACCAGGTACAGGTTAATGTCAAACAGTACAAAGAGCGATGATCGTGCGTAGTAAAAGCAGGATGCAGGCGATGAAACCTATACCACCTTGCTTTGAGTTGCTGCCGTGGCGGACTGCAAGTTTCTAATTGATATAGGCCTCGGCTTGCAGCTTGTCATAGAACATGCAGGGCCTGCCTCAGATGTCCGCATAGAGCGAATATCTCGTGATTGTTTCAGAGATGGAGGGGCTCTTGCAGAAGTGATAGCTTTTTACAAATCTAAGGGCGAAGATGATGCTGCAGATTCTGTCGAAGATGAGAAAGTAGATCCAGGTTTGGAGGTACTTTTTTTATTCACTTCTCCAATTTACTTCACTGTCGCAGTCCTGTACAAGACACCCTTCTTGAATTCGGTTAACTTGAATGCTTTGTATGAAAGAACCAGCTACCAATCATCAGAGTTGCTTGTGCGGTATTTGTATTTGCACATTTATCTGAAAATCTGTATTGAATGTTACGTGCAGGCTGTAATGGCCATGCCAGATATTGTCATGCAATCATTAGCTCTGGCATTGCGCTATCTCAGGCAATTTGGGATGGAGAAAGTGCTTAAACTGGGAGCATCCTTTCGCCGTTTTGCAGGCCATAGCGAGATGAGCCTTTCGCCAAACGCTCTTCGGCAGCTAGAGGTATTGGCTTCCGCAACTGACGAAAGCATGACTTTCATGTTAGTTTGACTTAAACTTTTCAGTGTTTTCTGTGTAAAGTATTTATAGCAGGGAATTGGATCCTTGAGTTATATCTATGTTACATTGGTATCCTGCATCCTTCTATTCAACATTAATCGTCGTCTTCATTGTGTTAATGTATATATGTTTTGATGTTAAAAATCCATTCATTCATTTATTTATTTTCCTGACGTCACTATCAAGTTGTAGACTGTTACGTTATTCCCTTAATTTGAAACTGAAGATATCTTCGCTGCAGATTCTGAGGAATAATGCAGATGGAACCAATAAAGGCACTCTGCTTTGGCTCATGGACCACACGCACACTCTTTTCGGTGCTCGCTTGATGCGCCATTGGGTACGTCCTTCTGAGCTGTCATTGATGTCAATCGATTGTTTTTGAGGGTCGTGGATTCGTGTCTAAAGTATGGATGCTGTTTCAAGTATGTGGTTTTGTTTGCAGCTTGAATAGAGCAGGTTGTCGAGCTCAAAATATCAGTTATTTGAGCAGAAGGACGTATGGTTCGTATGCACCTTGTTAGTGCCTCGTTGGCCGGAAATTCAAGCTAGAAGAGGTAATATTTGTTTTCTGCTTTTGCGCAGGTGACGCATCCTCTTCAGGATGAAGGATTGATTGCTGCGCGGTTGGATGCAGTGACGGAAATAGCGGAATCTATGGGGAGTGTGGGAGTTGCCCAAGGACACGGAAGTTTTCCTGGAAGTGGAAGGGGTGGGGGTAATGTTGGGTCATTGAGTCGCGATGCTGCTGGCGAAGGAGGGAAGAATAGCAAACAAGGTTTGCTGGTGTCACTGCTGATGTCACTGGGCAAATTGCCTGATGTGGAGCGGGGAATTACTAGAATCTTCCTTCGCACGGCTACAGCTGCTGAGGTAGTGCTAAATTACTTCTCGAAGTACTTTGATCTCTTTTAATTATGGGTATATTATATCATTTTTTTTTATTTTACTTTGTTTTACGTTCATGGATGTAGTTGAGTTTAATTCGTGAGGAGTTTCAAGTTCTAATCTTGACAGGATAATTTGATGGTTTAAACATGATTCTTTCACGATAGTATCACCAAAAAGGTAAGCTTAAGCGGTGTTCGTTTTGGGTTACTTCATCTGGTGACAGGATTGTAAAGCTTGTCTTATCGGTTGAGGACTTTTGCAAGTCATTTTACTCGTGTCTGGATTAGACAGGAAAACAAAATTCAGTCTGAGAGTTCTCTATTGTTTTGGGATGAGGACTCCAACATGAAAGCTTACGCTGAAAATTCTTTGTTTGTTTGTTTGTTTATCCAGTTTGTTTCAGTGGTACAAGGGCTAATAAAAGCGTCAAGACAGCTCCGTCAGCTGCACTTTGACCACAAAGATTCAGATATGGAGTTAGATGATGTACACCCAAAGAGTGTGAAATCTAGTCTTATGAGACGTCTAGTGGCAGCTGCTTCATCAGTTTCTGTATCTGAGCCCGCAGCTCAACTCTTATCTTCCCTCGACACTGATGCAGCAGCTTCTGGTGACAAACTCAAGCTCTTCCATTGCAGAGATGGAAAATTTCCTGAGGTCTCACTTTCACTATGTAGTGATTTTATGTGTAATAAGTTACTTGATTTTCTTGTTGAATCTTGCCAATATAGAAATTGAGTCATTGGAGTCATTACTTGGATTTTTGGCATCGTGACCAACCTGTATCAGCATCTCATGCCACAGTAGATATACTAGCATAGTTCAGAATCCTGGAATTACCCAAGAGGTAAATAATTTGGCTTTGCTTATACACACCTCATAAGGCCATTGTTGGAGGTAATTCTATGCTTTCCGTTTTGACATCCAGTTTCTAGCAGCTTTGTCTTGGACACGCATTTAAGCACTCTGTAATGCGTTCGTAGGTTAAAAATTGCCGACTTGCAATCGAGGCAATAGAGCAACAACTTGAGGACCTTCTTCCTAATATTCGAAAGGTGCTCAAGTCACCCAGGCTTGAATACATGAGTGTGTCCGGAACAACACATTTAATTCAGGTTCGACGTTTCTTTGCATTTGTTTTGATGCAAACTCGCAACTATATACCGTTGGAATATTCTGGTTGTATGACAATCTGGTCCATAGTTTTGAATTTTTGCTTCTATGTCTCTAGACATTTGGGACATGAATCTTGTGTATTATGTAGCTGTTAATATTGACTAGTTTTCGGAGTCTTGAAATCGGTATTCTGAAATATTATTATAGATATTCTCTTGGTACTTTATTGAGACAGTTCTCAAAAAGAGGTTGTTACTGACACTTGGCTCGAACAGATGCCTGTTGCACATCGAGTGCCAGCAAATTGGATCAAAGTAAACAGTACTAAAGCAATGCACAGATATCACCCTCCGGAGGTATTGGAGGCATTGGATGCCCTTACTCTTGCAAAAGAGGAGCTTAGTATCGCATGTGGGCGTGCCTGGGATGCTTTTTTGGCAGAGTTTGCTTCACATTATGTGGCTTTTCGGGCAGCTGTTCAAGCTCTTGCTGCTCTTGACTGTCTCCACTCACTTGCCATTGTGTCTCGAAACCAGGTAAATTGTTTCGTCGCAATATTGCAGCATGTTGCATGTGTTTTGTTATGGAACTGTGTAAGTCAGGAATCTGTGCATCGACATTTACAGGATGTTATTGTACGATGTACTCACATGTTGAATTACTCGTGCTTCTAGTATCATAGTTGTCCTCTAATGAACATCTGTTGCTCAGGAAACTTGTATTTGTATTTTCGCAGGGCTATGTGCGTCCAGAGTTTGTAGGAAAGTGCGACCCTTCTCAGCTGTTGATCACAGCTGGACGACATCCTGTAATCACCTGTACCTCATTCAATTATTGCACGTTCTTGATCCGCATCTGGCAAAGATGCAGTTACTGATTGTGATTAGATGATAGATCATGACTATTAAAGTATGTTACGGAACGTATCTCATTACCCACTTTGTTTTGGCCGAGTTCAACCAGGTTCTTGATGCGACGTTGCAAGATGGTTTTGTGCCTAACGACACTTATTTACAAGCAGACAAGGAACGGTGTCAAATCATCACTGGGCCAAACATGGGTGGTAAAAGTTGCTACATCCGTCAAGTTGCCCTGATTACCATCATGGCTCAGGTAAAGGTCGCTTACCTTATACGAATAGAACTTTAAGGAGAACTTGGATAATTCAGCATAGCATACCCGGCTATGTTATTGGAATATACGGCAGCTTGGACTACGTGACCGTTTCTGAAGAGGGCTCGCTTTTCCTTCCTTGCCTCCTTTCTTCCTCCTTTCTTTCTTTCTTTCTTGATTTTTAGTTTTTATAGATATAATCTTGAAAAGTTGCATTATTCATCTAATTTGTGAGTATGCCAGGTTGGTTCATACGTCCCTGCAACATCAGCTAAATTGCATGTGTGTGATGCGGTCTTCACAAGAATGGGGGCATCTGACAGCATTCAAAAGGGGTCTAGCACATTTTTTGAGGAACTCAGTGAAACTTCTTCAATCTTGAGGCGTGCCACTTCAAGATCTCTTGTTATCATTGACGAGCTTGGCCGTGGCACCAGCACTCATGATGGCGTTGCAATCGCTTACGCCACTCTTCATCATCTTCTGAAGGAAATAAGGTGGATACATCCACTTTTGCGTTTCCCTGTTGGACGAATTTTATTCAATTTATTTATGTACAGGGTTGCTATATTTCTGTTTCATGTATGTCAATCTTTGCTTTGAGACAATGGCTAAGAGCTAAAGTTGCCTGTGGGCGTCTATCCAAGTAGTGTTGACGACGGGAATTAAATTTGTAATGTCAATCAAAGGTACCGATTTTTATTCCTCTCAGCGGAGTATCATTGAATATGATGTGCTTAAATATCGAGAAATATCTCGTCTTCTTACCTGTTTGGTGCACTGTAATGTGTCAGATGCCTTACTTTCTTTGTGACGCATTACCCAAGGATAGCTGATCTCAAAGATGAGTTCCCAGGCAATGTTAGCCCGTACTACGTCTCATATTTGGCAGAGGGTCAAATAAATAAGCAATTGCCGGAAGCACAAATCCCGCCCGTCCAGAGTGAGGGCAACAGTCGAGAGTTACGTTATGCAGAAGAGGCAACTCAGAAAATTACTTTTCTGTACAAACTTGTGCCAGGAGTTGCAAGCAGAAGTTTTGGGCTGCATGTTGCTCGTCTCGCACAGGTTGACACATTTTCCCCCTAATTTCTGCATTACTTTCCGTTAGAGTCAATCATGATATTTTTTGGTTGATTTCTTGCCGGAGCTTTCAACAGTTGAAATGCCTGCCAGTGGTTTATGTTTCAAGTGTCTACTTTTCAGCTGCCTGAGGTATGCGTCCTGCAAGCAGCAGCGAAAGCTGCTAAGCTAGAAGAGGAGGTGAACTCAAGGACTGCAGCAGCAAGTGCATCCTGTTCAGAACCCGAGTCCCATTTAATGGATGTGGAGGGGACCACAAAGTTGTCGGAAGTGGCGGCTGAGAGAAGCCTTACTGGACTCTCTCTGGATGACTTGACTAAACTACTGTCCATGGTTGAAATGGCTTGTAGTCACCAGGATGAGGTCTCTGCTTTTTCTTGTGTGAAAGAAGCTCAAGCCCAAGCCAGGGCAGTTTTGAGTCTGCATCAACATCCTTAGTTGTGGATAGTAGTTGATAGTTGTTGAGGGGTTAGCACTAAGACACGGAATTTTCTGGGTAGGTTTAGAACAACCTCTCAAGCTTCTTTGAGGTTCCTTAAGTAATGAGCAATTTCATTCCCTCGATTTATTTGCTTTGACAATGTATAGAGCTAGGTGAGGCGTGCTTTCGTAATGTCCAAGTTATTTGTAATATATGTTCACTATGCCAGCTGATGCCTAACTTAGCCGTGAATTGAAGTTGGTTGAATTGATCCTTTAAGATCTAAGTTTCGGGGGCGTGCCATTTGTATGATATGTGATCAAAATTAATGAAGAGAATAGGTGTGCAGCGACAGAACAGCATATCCATTTATTATTTCCTCTTTCTGCTTGATAATGTTTTTCTGAACATTCTAGGTAAGTTATATAGCTGGAAGATGACTGAAGTCTGCTTTTTATTGTAATGTAAAGAGTATCAACTAATTCACAGCTGCAAACATAGCTTCTAAAAACCTAATAGTAAATTATGTGTGATAGTGAATCTTGTATAAAATAACCAGTTTTCAAAAGGTCAAATGGTAGGTTCTTGCTTAATTATGACAATCTACTCTGTCAATTCAGTTTTTAGTCATATTTTTAAAATTTTTACTACTATTTTATAGTACTAATAAGAATTGGTAATTATTTACTTGTTTTCAAGAATTAAATATTATTTAACAAACACACAATTGAGTGATAATAATTGTTGGTCACAAAGATTTGGTTCAAAGTATGTCTTTATATATATATATATATATATATAATTTTTTTTTTACTATTATAGAAATCTTTTACAATCTTTTGTATTTAAGGTCACCAATAAAACTTAAGAAATAAAATTCAATGCATTTTAGGCTTAACAAATTCAACTTAAAACAACCATATAATGTTTTTTAATTTAAAAAATGTATATTGATAGTTTAATGCATGTGATGCTTTTTAAAAATAAAAATAAATTTCTGAAGAATGTTAAGTTTATTGATGTTGTAAAAATTTATAATTACATTAAATATATCAAGATATTATCACGAACATACTTTAAAAATTTATTTGAATAAAATGAGATTTTTGTAGATAATCACATAATAATAATAAAAAAATTTATCTATTTAATTTACATGCTATTTTTTATGACTTATATATATATATATATATATATATATATATATAATGATTGATTAAAAAAAATTGTTTGTTGTTTTATTCTTTCATGTAAGCAAATAAAAAAATCATAGTAGTAATGAGTTAAAATTACCTCAACAACAATTTAAAATGTATTATAGGGTGACAAATTTCAAACTTTATATTTATGGTCACTTTATATATTACATAGAACACAATTACTTAGAATAAATTCTTTTAGGTTTTTTAAAAATGAAATCTAGTGAGCTTAAGCTTGTAAGTAAAAAACAAGAGTAGTATATATATCTTATAATACTAGAATTTAAATAAAAAATATGATAAAAAATAGATTGTATTAAAAAAACATTAAATTTTAAAATACTTTTATTAAAAGCATTGGTAAAAGTAAACATGTTACTAAATTTTGGAGTGATACAAATTTAAATTAATGAATTGAAGTTATAAAACTATGTTTCAAAAAATCAAAGTGTTTCATTTAAACAAGATTTTATTTTATTTGTGTGCATTTGAGTTTTAATATGTCCTCAAAATAGAAAAATAGCCTTGGACTTAAGACCAAGTTCATTTAGAATAAATTGAGTTTTAAATTTATAATTAACATATAAACTTAGATATTGAAGCCAAACTTGAAAAAAACCAAACAAAAGATATTTTGGAAAATAATTAAGTTACATCATGAAGATAAAAATGATATTAAAAAATTAAATTTTGGTAACAAAATAGATTGTTTGTTGACATATTTATAAATTTAGTAAACCTGAACCTACATTGTAAGAATCTTATTTAAAAAAAGGCCAAAATATAATATCAATAATTATTAATTTTTATTTGGAATTGGTTTTATCTTTGTCGAGAAATGTAATATATATATATATATATATATATATATATATATATATATAAATATATATATGCTAAAAGAACTTAATACATTAAAGAAACCAAATTGTTTGATAAGTGTTGGATCATCAAAGGTAATAGTGTGTACAAATAAAAAAATGACTAAATTCTTCAATAAATACCAAATTTTCACATAAATATATTTGCTTTAATAAATGGTTTAATGAAACAAAAAAAAATGCTTTGTTAGGATTTGCACAATACATATTCACTTTGTAGAATTTATTCTAGTATTAAAAGTGGTTTTATTTTGAAAATTCTAAAAGGTTTTATAATAACCATAATTGGTTTTTTATATATACATCTATATATCTATATATATACACTAGTGGAAACTTGTGCCATTAGCCATAAAAGAATATCATAAACTATATGTTGCAAATTAACCTTTTGTTTGAAGCTTCCTATGATGTGAAACTCCATGTTGCATGCTATTCCGCTACATTCCATGCCATTCCACATTGTAATTTCTCTAAACTCACATTGCTACTCTTAGCAATCTACAACAACATACAGATTTTGATCTGTGATTGATCAAAAATTGAGTTGTTGTTTACTTTTGCTTCAATTTTGATGAAAACAATGAAATATGTAGCCACTCAAAGATGGTTTTTTTATCCTCTAGTTTATCCCGTCCGTTTATCTTTTGGAGCTATTTTATATAGGAGATATATACACACACTATTTTTTTTTTATAGTTGTTGTATTAAAATGGATTTTAAGAAAACAAAAAAAAAAACACACACACACACATACACACACATATATATATATATATATATATATATATATTTTTAAAATAGAATTTAAGAAAGAAAAAAAATTAAATATATATATTTTAAGATATGCTAACTTTTATCTGTGAATGAATTTATAATTTATAATTAATTAAGATTTTATTATTTATAATTTATCCTAAATATAAATTTAAAATTAATGATTTTTTTTGATAATTAGTTCATCAAAATATCTCATCCAGAATAAAAGCTAATTTTACCATCAAAATATTAAAATAATTTATAAGATAGAAGTAATGATACAACTATCTTGGAAGAAGTTGCCAATTATCTATCAAAATATCATCCTCAAAATCCTGAAAGACTCTTATTCTTATTAAAGTTTCCATGACTTGAAAGAAATTTGAAAATAAATAATATGCATAACACAATTTGAGGAACATAGAAAACACAAAGCAGATATCTCCATAGTAGAATTCTCTGATTTAGGGTTATTTAATATGGTAAAAAAATGTATAAAAGGCAATTGAAATTAAAATAAACAAATCTATCTAAATCAATCTTGAAAACAAACTTAGTCATTAATTTTGTAGCCAAGAGTGGTTAGATTAGGTCTAGAATCTCATATGTGCTTAGATTTACTCTAAGATAATGTAAATGATGATTGTTGTATTTAAGAAGAAAATATAATATTCTTAACTTTGTTATGCATGAAATTAATTCAGTACATTTGTAGCCCTAACAAGGTAAACCAAGATTTATACTATATATATATATATATATATTTTTTTTTGTAGAAAACCAACACTAAACAAGAAATATGTGAATGTTATGGTCTATTATATATATATATATATATATATAAATATATATATATATATATAAATATATATATATATATATATTTTAATGAGGCATGAAATATTAGCTCTAGATAATAAGGTCAATATTCAAAATGTTCTTAACTTAGAGTTATTCAACTCAATGCAACCACTCCATTCTTTTACAATAAAAGTATAAAGAATCTAATAATGATCTTTATTTCCCTATAGATCTATCTACCCAATAAACAAATTAGTGTATTATACCTCACATGGTACATTACTATCTATTTTATTTTTAAAAAAAATGATTCTTAAAAATAAATTTAAATAGATATGTTTGAACTATTTGATCAATGGCTTTAAAATATATATATATATATATATATATATAAACAATGATAAGAATCCTCCAAAGTTATTCAACTTTCCACAAATTACGCTTCTATAATTTTTAAAAATCTTTTCAATACTCAACATTTTGAACTTCATACTCAACATTCTTTTTGAAGGGATCAAAACCTTTAAAAAATCATTTTCACACATCTACAAAGATTTTTTCGCATATCTAAAAAATTCATGGACTTTGATGCAGTCCATGTACCACAGGCGTAGATGGAAGTTCGTAGATAGACCGTAGAAGCCCAGGCATGCAGAGGGCTGAGGAACTGGAGCTCTCGTTGTCGTCGTCGTCGTGGTGTTTTTCCTCTAGGGCCTCGTGAAGATCGACGTGCGAGGGCGATTGGGCCCGTCTTTTAAGTTTGTGTCTTTGTGTGCGTGTGATGTTTTTGTTGTTGTTGTGCATGTGGGTTTACATTAAGATGCGGTTTTGCGGGAGGGAAATTCGAGGGGACTGGAGAATGCTTGGGTGCTTGAGGTGACGCTCCAGCTTTCTGGTTCGGTGTGTGTGCAGCGTGCGAGGCGATTGCTCGACGTCGATACGATTCATGGTTCGTCCCTGCTTTCGCCTCGTAGCTTTTTTGCTGATTGTGGTGATGCTCATTGGAGTGTTTTCCTCTGCTTTTTCATTGGGAGGTTTTGTTCGTGGAGGAATGCAAGGCTGCGTATTCGTTGGTTGTGGCGTCTGTTTTTTGGGTGATGAACGTGACAGGTTTGATGAGGATTTTATTGGTGTGTTTTTTTCCATCGCTGGTGGAGATCTGCAGCGTTTCTTTGTGTATCGGCCATAAGAAGGCCAAATGCGGGTGAATTGGGGAATTGGAGGTTGTAATCTGAGGACTGACTGAGTTTAACTCCCTAGTTTTTCAGGCGAGGGGGAAACTCATGGTTGTTGATCAATTGGGGGACTGTCTTTGGATCTTACGGGTTCGCCTAACCCTCTCATGAAAATTCTTACGCCAATGTGACGATTGTGATGTCCCGTTTGTTGTTTCGACGAGGACCTCACCTTGATTTCGTGCGTGGTTCCTTATTCAATGTGTGAACTGCATGATGGCGAGGGCTTTCGGTGCGCCTGAGAATTCTGAATCAGTTCTTGCACGGTTTTTCCACGTGCGAAAATTGTGTTGCACTAGACATTTCATTTCTTCATGTAGCCGACTAAACAATCCGACTTACGAGGGTCATTATTAGAGATTGATCTGGTTTTTCGGTAGAGTTAATTTGACTACTGGATCAGTCATCGTCGAAAAAGCTTTTCTTGTCCTATCTTAATTCTTTAGTAATTCCCTCTGTAGTTCACCCTTCAAATATTGTGACCACCTTTGAAGCCACTTGTGAAGATATTCCTCAAAGCTCTACTGGACTTATGTCAATCCGAGTGATGTGTAGCTTGAGTCCAGAACTTGGACAAAAACGAATGCTATGCAACAAAGTTTCCAACTGTAGGTCATTGCTGTGCTTGCTTAAAGAAGTGCAAATGCCTGCTTCTCTCGTTCTTGTGAGTTCGTTTAAATCCGAGATGATTTAAATAATTGAATCTCGTTTGAAGAGTAATGAGAGGACCAATTCTTGTCTCTTACAGGAAAACAATCACCTTGAGAAGAAGGCTTGTCAATACTAAACCCGTCTTTGAGATTTGAAAGAGATATATTAAGCTCATCTCATCATTCAAAGTATTATAAAAAATACTTTCAATCGCTACTCACTCGATCACCTTTTGCTTCTGTTATGTCACATTCACTAACAATTGTTTTACGAAAAAACATTTTAGCAGCAAGTGAAACATATAATGTGTCAAGCAGCGAAGATGAGTCACGTATCTTATGAAGCGATGAAGGGCTCCCGTTGCTCCCGGTGGCAAGACTACGCAAGAGAAGTGTGGCATCTTGTAAAGATGATGTTTCTTACAAGTCTTTTGTGCGCAACGTTGCTGTTGCTACCCCTTACAACCGGTCGAAGTAAAGCTGGTTATGTGATGGGAAAAAACGGCACTGAGCACATTTCACCTTTTCTGGCCCTGCTCGACAAGGGGCAGCCATCTAGAGTTCAAATTCTGTAAGTGCTCTGTTGTATTTCCTTTTTATGAACGAAAATATACTACTTTTAAAATGAGTAAATGGTTCCATTCCGTCACTGGAATTAATCACCATGTCTCTTGCGTAAACTTTCATCTGAACTGAGGACGAATCAGCTATGAATTCGATTTTTTCTTTTTCTTTAAAAGCTCCACAATTGACCCGAGAATCTCGACAAGATTTGTGATTCAGGATATCAAAATTGGCATGCTTGCAGGGAAACCGACTCAGATATAATGAAGATGATCAATGGGCATTCCACGCTGGAGCTTAAAACAGTGGTAATTGCAGAGACGGTGGTTCCATTCGACGAACGCAACCTTCTGATTGAATATGTGAAACGGCAGCTCGATGCATCTGGTGTGATGAGTGAAGAGCAGAAGGAAGCAGTGCTGACCATGGTCGATGTGGGTCCAATGGAGGCTCTAGTCACCAAGGAAGAGATCGGAGAGAAGGGAACTCTTAGCAACTCAGCATTCACGGCTCTGATCAAGAAACACGAAGAGAATGTTCACTTCATGCTCATTGGGTGATGTTCTCTTGGCTTCACTGAATTACTCTTTTCCCAGATGCTAATTCGCATATCGCAAAAACCAGTAATATGGGTCACTCACCAATGATACTACATGCTACAAGATATGTTTATATGGTTGTTTTCTTTTGTTTTGTTTTTCCTACGATGACAATCACTGCTAATTAATGAACTTCTGGATGGTTGCAGGGTTCGAGCAGAGCCACGGTTGGGTTGGAATTGGATTCCGTCTTCACAGCGCAATGCATGGAACGATGTGCTGTCCCGCGTCGTTGCTGACAAGGTGCACAAATTGCTAGTTGAGATCATCCACCCATAGACTTGACCATGCAGGAAAGAACACTTTGTAAAAGCCTGATTTTGAAGGTTGTTGTTAACGTGGAGACTTGGTTTCAGCTTAAGAAGCTACAACCACCTTGTTTACTTTTTATATTTAGTATTGAACCAAGATCCCACATAATTTGATGTAAATATGGCTTCGATTTTCGTTATTTCTTACACCGCAGCTTGATTCTGTACTTACGCATCTCTTCTGAGAGTATTTTTTTGTTTTTGTTTTTGTTTTTGTTTTTTGTTTTTTTTTTTTCCCTATCAAGTAGTCCTTTTGATCGCTTGGAGTTGTTTTTTTAAACAATACAAAACATTAATTCTGAAATGACATTCAGATGAGAAATGTTTTGTATTGTTTAAAAAAATGATTTTTTTTTGTCTTTTTTTCTTTTTTCTTGATCTTTTTTTTTGGGAAAATAATATATAATTATATACTGAATTAATTGAGTTTTCAACGATGTGGATTGTGTTCAAATTGTTATGGTTATATAGTGTTTTATTATATTTTTGTTTTAATGATTGGTGTAAAATCAAATATTTCTATAGATCAAGAATTCAAGATAATTTAGTATAATATTACTATTTTATATTTTATGATTTCTAAAGATATATAAAGGTATTTTTATATTTTTGATGGTTTTTTTTAAAACAAATTTCTACATAGAACTACTGGAATTAAAAGTTTTTTTTAATGATCGATTATAGTTTAAAATGGTTTTTTAAAGTTTTTTTTGTTTGAATAACCAATAGATCAGTCTATTTACTAGTATATTATGTAGATCCAATTTTACTCTAAGAAAATCTGAATACCGAAATTAGACCTCACAATCAGTTGTTGAAAACATTAAAAAATATAAATTACACTATAATAAAATCAAAAAAAATCACTACTATTAGATTGGTCAATAAACTAGTATTTTCTCTGTGCTGTTTGTCCAATCTAAATTACAACTATAAACTCTATCATTTAAAAGTAACTTCAAGAATAGTTACATTAATGGAATTTTTTAATATCAAAATAGTGTATCTATTTGTAAAAACTCCTGAATTCTTTTAGTAAAAAACTTCATCTCATATATTCATCCAACTATTTTTGGTATTTAATAAACTTAACATAATAATGTTAATTCCAAGAATATCTTTCCATGTTATTAAATTACAAATACGCTACAAAACTTATTTATCCATTTGATAAATGTAAATTATAGAATATTCAAAAATTTCTCATTTTTATCATTTTGTTATAGTCAACTAAACATTGCAAACTAATTTTTGAGGAACTAAAATTTTCAGTTCTCCATTTCCAGCTATAGAGACTTACTAATTTAAAAATCACCACAATCAATCAAGCTCTAATATAATTGCCACAAATCACATTGTCAAGAAATTACAAAAAAATTCACACATCAAACTTCCTATTCCACAAAAAAATAAAATAATGGAGTTGCAAACAATATGATCAAGTAGTTTCACCATGAGATTAAGCATTTTTTAATTTTAATTTTAATCTTTTTGCTAACGCAAAAGGACTAGTTTAACCATTAAAATTCTCAAAATTTAGAATTCTCACAACGTGTAAATCTCATGAACTTAACTTCCTCCAGAACGCCACACTAATTCTGTAACTGTTGAATGAATGATAAACTTCACTCATTCATCCATAAGCGAACGAGAATCTGGTGGTGATTTCGAAGGCCTCAGTGGGGGCGAGCCATCGGTGAGCGTGCCATTCTCGGGAGCGGCGAATTCGGCATCCTCGGGACGCAATGGAATTGGGGGGGATACGATTTCGGGAGTGCACTGATCAGAAGTGCTGGAAGTGCGCGGCGTCGCAGAGTGTCGAGACGGCACCGCGACACTTAACGGGGAAGTAGAAGTAGTAGAAGTAGTGGTAGTAGAAGAAGAAGAAGAATAATCACTGAGCTGCCAGAAGCCGCAGTAGTCGACCTCGATGTAGCCGGCGGGATTGTCAATCGGGCCATAACTTGAGAGATCTTGCCCCGCCCACCCTCCACTCTCATTCACTTCCGTAGAGAAGTAGATGCCGTTCGGCATTGGCGACCACACGCGGGCGGAATTCACCTCCTTCCCATTCCAGTACCATTTCAATCCCCCCGGCTCATGCAATAATCCGTAGGTCGCCCACTCGGACGGTGTGTCTGGGAGTCTCATCAGCTTGAACGCGACGGATCTGTGGTTCGCGCCATATCCACCCCAGTGCACCGCCGTGTTGCCGTGCGATGAGACGTCCGCGCTGCTGCCATCCTTCGCCCGGTGCTCCACCACGTCGATCTCTATGCCTCCGTCTATCTGCCCCGGTGGTACTGGGTTGTCCCGCATCCCATCGGGCAACAACCAGAACGCGCTGTGCATTCCCTCAGCTCCCTGGAACCGGCACCGCGCCTCGTAGTAGCCGTAACCGAATGTCTCCTTCGTCGCTAGTCGATCAATCCTGTGGAACCAATCCGAGAAAACGCAAACGCGCAAAACCGACTTCCCTCCGTCGGGGTCTGGCACAATCTGCGCACAGTATGGCTCCCAGTGAATCTCTTTGTTGGACTTCGCATCCCACTTCCATTTCCTCCTCCCCATCGGATGCCGCCATTTCGTCTCTAGACTCTCTGGAGTGGAGAAATCGTCCATAAACACGTTGTGCCACGATTGCCCAGTTTTCGGCGCCAGGCCCGGCTCACGCATGCCTGTTTGCGTCGCCATGCTCAAATGCAATTCCGCGATGAACCGCCAAGCAGTCTGATTGATATCCCCACCCCACCCTCCTTCGCTACTTAAACGCCCATCAATCGATTCCGTAGCTTCGGATTCTTCGACTTGCTATCGATAGCGGCAACTTGACGGATTTACCACGTCCTCACCGTGAGTTGATTCCACTCTACCTTCAATTGGAACCGACATCTGCTTGCTTCGTACTTAATCAAAATTTCAAGCGCAGTTATCTGAACCTAGTGCAGGCTCAATGTGCTTCAATAATTGCTTCACTGTCCAGCAGTATACGCTTTTCCTCTCCGTGAAATCCTTCCATTTAAAGTCAAATCGAGAATTTCTATTTTAGAGTCCTGCACCGTCGTCCTCTCTGGTGCAAGGGAGTTGAAGCCGAAGCCCTGACATAGCTTCCAGTACAATCTTGCTGATGACTTTGACAACACTATTTTCCACGTCTTTCGATGAGAGATCATTCTTTCGTATGACATGGAACGTGGAGTAAGAGATCACACTCACTATTGCGAAAAACTAGCATCAATATTGGGGTGTGTGGACTTCGGAGCATGCTCGTGTGGCTTATCTGCTACGATAGTGAAATAAAAAAAATTGAGAATCAGTGGCTTATAGTCGTAGTAGGCTGCTGCGTGAAAGGTATCTGAAGACACTGTGTAATGTGTGCGTTTGAAGTCAACCCAGTTGCTGAAGGAAGAGATTACCACCTTGTGTGTAATTCGTGGAGAGAGTAACTGCGAACTGGATAAGAGTGAAGGACCTTGCCGAAGAAATCGGCTGCGCATCAAATCAAAGAATGATCCACCAGAAAACTTGAAACTGAAGAAAGATACCTGGTGCGGCCATCTTCTATTACCTGTTGTGGCTAGATTTGATTGTGTGTCCATGGTCTTCAATGCAAGTTGCTGTTCAAGCATGCTGGCGAGTTAAATCCTTATCCAGATTGAGTTGTAGTTCAGTTCACGGAACTCCTCCGTACCAGACATTCTACCCAGCCCTTTTCAGTACTAGGGTCTCTGCAACTGGTATCTGTATGTGTGTCACCGCATTGCTGACACTTGGAATCTTTGATAGGATTCTTTAAAAAATGTGGAACGTTATTTTCGTGCTCTTGGTTGCGTGTCTGTTCTTATACTGTTTCGCAACTTCGCTTGTGTTCAGAAGACTTAACAAAGTCAGATCCTGCAGGTGGGCGTTTGATAAAACTACAGTTTACTGTAAGCGAGAGTTGCTTCTACCTTGTTAATGAGGCACCTGACAAGCCTTTCCAACGATCCACATGTTAAGAGTCATTATTCTTTAAGTGAACTGCAGATTCTTCAACGCCAGCCAGAACTGCCCCACACAATAACAGGAAGTTGAATTGAATAAACCTCATAAGATAACCACTCCGCTACGATTTGTTTAACTTCATGTTCCAGTCGCTTTTCACATGGTTCACATGAATCGCATCCAGTAATAAGTGATCATATATAGATATATATACGAATAAAGACCAGACAGTTACTTGACCTCGTTGAAGATTTCGCTACATAACTTCGGACGCAGGGAAACCTTGAAATTGCGGCTTCTTCTTCATCGGCATAGAAGTTGGATAGATAACAGGCACAAGACCAATCATGGCAACCTTATCGAAGACCATCCATTTTTTCCTCATTTGGTGGTAGAAATTTATTTCAGATGACACAAGTGAATAAAGTGTACTGTTACAACCTACATGTGTGACTAGAATAATTACAAGAATAAACAGCTTGTGATTTATTCTGATCACGTAATGAATCGGCGGAACCCTAACGCCCTATATCTCAAGAGACGAGATTTGCAGCGGTGGGTACCGACACCGGCAACTTGTCGATGCAATCCGACCACACTCCGCGCGCGGACGGCTTCAGAGTTCGCAGAGCTTTCCAAACCGCAGAATTGCACTTGAATCCGGAGCCGAAAGCGATTTGCCACACCCGGTCTCCACGCTTGACGCGCCCCTTGGCTTCTACGTAAGCTAGTTCATACCAGGGAGAGGAGCTGGAGGTGTTGCCGAATCGGTATAGGGTCATACGCGAAGGCTCCAAGTGCCATTCGGTGAGATCCAAGTTCTTCTCAATCTCATCGAGCACAGCTCGCCCTCCAGCATGGATGCAGAAGTGCTCGAATGCGAGGGTAAAATCCGGGATGTATGGCTTGATCTTTTTCATTTTGAAGAACTTCCGACCAACGAGTTTTGCGAAGAAGATGAGCTGCTCTGACAGCGGGAGGACGAGGGGACCCAGAGTGGTGATGTTCGCTTTGAGGGCATCTCCTGCGACGGACATCAAGTCGCGGGAGAGGGAGACCCCTGTCGTGCCACGGGAATCCTCTTCCTGGTAGACACACTGGAAGCATTTTTTATCGGCGCCCTTGTGCGTTCTCACGGTGTGCACGAGCTGGAATTTAGAACGGGACCGAGCGCTTCGCTTGTTGCTGAGAAGCATGGCCGCGCCGCCCATCCGGAAGATGCAGTTCGAGACTAACTTCGACCGGTCGTTGCCGAAGTACCAGTTCAAGGTAATGTTCTCGAAGGATAAGACGACAGCGTATGCATTGGGGTGCACTTGGAGGAGATCCTTGGCCAAGTCGATGGAGATGACCCCGGCGCTGCATCCCATTCCGGCAAGGTTGATGCTCTGGATGTTACCCCGCAGCTTGTAATGGTTGACGATCATGGCCGACAATGACGGCGTGGGATTGAACAAGCTGCAATTCACCACTAGAATATCGATGTCCTTCGGCTTTACACCCGTCGTTTCGAAGAGCTCGTCCAATACGCCGAACATAACCTTCTCGGCCTCTGCGCGCGCCATCGCCATGTTGGGACATGGCGGCTTTGCAAGCACTGCTGGGGGTAAGTAAGTCTCTTGCCCCAAACCGGACCTTTCGATGATCTTTCTCTGGAAGTCTATATTCTCCGGAGTAAAAGAACCCGAATCGATCGTCCGATCCAAGAAGAGCTTGTGTGAGCACTTGTTTTCGTCTTCGGGCTTGTAGCATGCGTAATCAACGAGGTACACGGGTCGTGGGCGGGTCATAAAGTACAATGTGGCACCGAAGACGAGGGCCCCAGAGGTGACGAGCACACTGACCAGGTTGTACTGAAGCTGCCTCCAGAGGTCACCGACATCGTGGTGGCTGAGGCGGCCGACCTCGGCGAAGATGGTGAGCAGGGCGGGCAGCATCAGAAGATACATGGCGTGCGAGATGACTATGTGGTACCCCAATTTTACATACTTGAGATTCACAGTTTTCAGGAAATCTGGCAGCTGAGGACGGTTTAATAATTCGGCCGATAATCCACGAAGAAGCGGGGCTCTCTGAGCCTCCATGTTTGAATCTCCAACCGGCATTGTAACTCACACAGATTGTGAATCAATAAAGCAGTTGTTGAACCACCTGGACAAGCGGACTACATGCAATTAGCTTCTTTGTCCCTGCATCTACAGAATTGAGCTAGTATTTATAATGGGATAACCCTGTCGACATTGATGCATTCTCACTGTCAACTATCATTATATTCAAACGCGGTAATTGAGGGGGAATTATCTGAATGAGTGAAGGGTAATAGTGTGACAACCCACAAATATTCAAGCATCTCACGAGAGAGAGGGAGAGGGAGCGCTGAGGGCAAATGACGGAGGAGTCTGTACACTTGAGAGCATAACGCACTATAATTCGGCTGGGTTACATAGCAAGTGAGTGAAAAACGTGGAACAATTTACGGCCAATACGGAAGCCGAGGCATTCAGTGCACCAAACCAAAATTATGATGCAGTATCAGGCACGGTCGACCAACTCAACAAGCAAATACTGCAGAGACTCCAGTTCGTTACTCGAGCGAGGTTCAGTACGCAAGATTAAGAGCTAGATTCGTCTTTGCGTACATTGAAACATGAGAAATGATTGGCTCAATGAGACAAATCATAATGTTTTCCAGTTCTCTTGTATCCTCACACATGCACACTTCGTGATCCATGGCTTACAAACAACAAGAAAACTAAATCTTGTAACATGCGTAATGTCTCCAAAGGACCACTACAGGTCCTTTCCAAGCTGCAAAGTTTACGCACGACCCCTCCAGCAGCCGAAATGATCATCTACTGGAAGTGTTTGTGAACTCTAAGCAGCAACTGTTTCAAGTTTTGAAGCTTAGAAACCTGAAAACTGGACCATCTCGGCGCAAGCCACATTAGAGAGGTTAAGAAGACTCACAGATTCTCAGCTCCTTCTCGACAATGACGCATTCCCAGCCAACTTTGGGTTAGAGAAAAATCCCAACCATATCGAAACCGTTGCACCCGTCTCCCTTTCACCACTGGATGTAGAGACTTCACCCAGTATATCACAACATTCGATAAGTTTTCTTCCACCCTGTAGGAACTAACTGAATTTCTGTGCAGAAAAATGCACGGCACAGAAACTCTGCCTCAACCTTCTGTGACCACTTCTACTCCATGAAGCTCGACCACTCCGAGCAACTAAACGAGATCGTTTTCGAGGATGCAACTGATCTTCCCCCACTCGCAGCTATGCGAGCACAACGATGTCCACAAGGTTAGACAACTCCCAACTCCACATGTTAATGAGCTTCCTTAGCAGCCACTTCACTGACAAAGCTCAGTGTTCCTTGTGCGCATAAACACCAATACTATCATCCCTGCAATATCATTTCGACTCTTATCACTCTCTGCAATAACCGATGCGAATTCTTTCGTAAAAAGGCGAATAAAAAAGGTTGCATGCTCCGCGCACCCCATTATCTCTAGCTCCTCTCACAGTCGAGCAGCGGGTGTGACCGGCGCGTGGTTTCGACCCTTTAGTTGTATAATGCCAAGCGTTTCTGCAGATCCATTGGCAGCTGGCCCCCCGGCAGCCTGTGTCGCTGCGGTATTAATGGTTTGGCTGGTGGTGGGAGGACATGGAGGCAACCATGACGAGAGCGGCAGAAGGTTGGCAGCCTGGAGGAACCCGTCTTTTAAATACCGCTTAGCTCTCGTAGGATAAAAAATGAATGCACTGGCTAGGTACACTCTACACACCCCCCGATTGAGGCCATTTATTGCAAGCTCCTGCAATCGCTTCAAGCCACTGATCCACTCTCAAGCATTAAGCAAAATACGATTACCGGGTCTTAAGTATACAACCACGGGGTCCCATGCATTCATCATGATTGTGGACCTCTGCACTTGACTAGTGGGTGTGTCGACCAGCGTGGGGTTCAGGGAAATTCATAGCGGAGCGACACACATTATCCTCTTTGTGCTCATCTACTCCTCCCTTTCCATTATTCTCCCCCCAGCAGCTTAGCAGCTAATTCTCATTCCAATGGTCTGTTCCGCAGCTCTTCTGTAGCTCATCAATATCAGCCATCTAACATCTTCCGTGGCACTTGCGGTACTATTTGCCACTTCAGGGGGATTGCTCACGATTTGCAGCGGAACACGTTGACCCACAAAGATGAAGTCACACACATATACTCTCTCTCACACACACACACAAACGTTATAAGTGTGGAATGGCAGCATGAATTGGGGGGGGGGCATGTGGAGGAGCAATGCGGTGCAGTGAGTGAGTTTAATGCACCAGCGTGTGAACGAGCCAGAGGGGGCGGAGACGGGGAGGTGGGTCAGTGACTCCGCTACAACCTCACATTCCCTTCCCCATTTCGTCCTCGCTTACTACTCTCATCATTCATTCATTCACTCATTCATTTGTGCTCTATATATCTATATCTCTCCATATTTTTTCGTGGCATTATGTAGCAATATTATAATGTCCTTTACTCCTCTGGACTACTCGCATGAGTGGGGCTCCTTTCCCATTAAGGCCATCCTCATTCGGGATCATTCAGTGACTAGTGCTGCAACGGTGCCAGTCCAACTCACAGGCCCACACCCCAACTCAACCCTCACTCGTTCCCTGCACTTCCCTTGCTAGCAGAAAAAAAGCCGATGAACAGATGAAGCCCAGAAAGGCATACCTAGTCGTAGTTTTAGTAGCACCATTACTTCAACCAGAATTATCACCGCTAGTATTGTTACTACGCTTTATAACAACTATTATTTTTACTACTATTATGGCAACTACTTTTCCTTCAGTGTTAGTAGTATTACTGCATTTGTCTTCATTGCATTACAACGCCCTCAGCACTGTTGGATTAAAGCCTGCCTGCCAGCTTACCTGCCTGCCTTCTGCACCCTCCCTAACTGCCCAGACCCAGAATGCATTAATGAATACATGAATATGTTAACTAATCACCATGAGTTGAGTTGTGTTTCCACTTGATTAGTCATTCTTCTTTATTTATTAGGGGAAGGAATGGAAGAAGAAGGAAAAGAATGAAAAATAAATAAATAAATAAATCGCGAAGGAGAGAAATGAATTGTGCCTATACATAAATTTGTAGATACAATCATTCCTCGTTTCTAATTCTTGCCTCTGATTGTTTGTTTGGACAGTAGTGGGTGGGTATGGTGTGAGAAATGTGGGGTGTATTCTATTCTATTCTAGTATGTCAACCCATCAGGCATACAACTCCCTCTTCAATAATGCTCAACAGTACAATAACAGTATTCCATTTCAGTTGTGAGCATTTGTAGTGAGTTCATAAAAGGTTGCCATTTACGCATATAATTCAAGAATACTAAGAAATAGAAATAATTATAGGGTAAGGTTTTGGAATAATGAGAGAATTATATATACATATATATATATTATTGATTAGTTCAACAAAATTATTTATTACAATATCTAAGATTGGATTAATATTAACATGAAAAAAATTACATGGGTGCTTGGTTCTTACTTACGTGAAGACCATGATTTGAAGATTTACTATTGAAATAATTGTTTTTGCTCCAATTGCTTTTCTTTCTGTGATCCAATGATTTAGAATCACTCCTTTACAACATTAGGCTCATCCTAAGCCTTACAATATGATATTACAATTATTTTTTGGTTAATTCATAAAACGATTTCTTTAAAACGTAGTTGTGTTTTATATTTATATGCTCTCAATTAAGTTTACTTTTTTACCTTCTTACATTTTGATACTTTTTCTTTCAAATTCTAAGAAATGTTGATCATAATTCTCTAACTTCTTCATTTCCATTCACTTATCTCAACATGTGCATTTAATAATGTACAGGCAATGAATTTTTTTATTTGTTGCAATCTTCAAGAGCTTAAATTCCTTGTTGGTTTTATAACATATTTTCAGTTTTGTAAATCTAATATATTAATTTATTCCAAGTCATTAAATTTTCTGGATTTCAAGCGTAAACTCCCTATTTTGGCAAATACAAAACACTCAATCTAATAATCATTAAAAATAAAATAAAATAAAATAAAAACGAAATAAAAACCACTGTGTAATAGATTACTCTATTTTATTTTGCAATCCCAAAACAAATAGAAAGTTTACTTGTGAACATAGAACAATTTAACTGATTTTTTTCTGATAAATTAAAAATAAAATAATTACAATATTTTAAGATTCTTTAAAATTATATTCTACTTTCAATTTGGATTGTAGTGTGTGTGATTTTAAATTTAATTTCTAAATAGTCAACCACATTTTGTAACACTTCATCATAATTGGCATTAGGAGAAACTTGAATATGGCATGTTAGAAGAGTTTTTCCTATTGTAAGAGCCCAAATATGCAATTCATGAATAGCTACAACATTTGGCAGTTCATTTAATCCATATTGCACTTCTTGAGCATTAATTTCATGGGGTGTACTTTCCATCAAAATGTGCAAGACATCTTTTAACATTTGAATAGTAGTGCCTAACACTAACACCGAGAATAGTATTGTGCATATTACATCAATAATCTTCCACTTGGGATTATACCTATTGAAAACCCACATAAGAAAATAACAAAAATCATCGAATTTGTTTTCCAATATAAAATATCAATTTCATAAAAGTTTGTTAAGCTTTAAAAAAAATAATAATTATCCACATGCGATTTTGATTGAATCTATTAGTGAATATTTTTCTTACCAAATGGCAGCAGCACCTATTATGACCCCAATGCTTTGAATTGCATCTCCAAGCACATGAAGATAAGCACCTTGCAAATTGAGGTTATTGTGTCCATGTTGAACTGTAGCTGTTGTCTTGCTTAACATGCTAACATCGTGTTTTTCATCATTAAAGTTATTTTCTTCATGTGTTTTTGATGATGTTGCTGGATGAATGTCCTTCACCACACATTCCATAAGTGTCATCCAAATATAATTCTAAATTTAGTAAACAGTGTAGTTATTTGTAGAATTTGTGAAAGATATTGTGATTTTAAAGGAAATGAAACAAAACTTACGAATATATATATATATATATATATATATATTATTTTATTAAAAATTTAACTAGATGCATATCAAATTCAATATATATAAGAATATTAAAAATAATATATATATATATATATATATATATGTATTAAATCATAACAAGTGAAACATTACTAAAAATTAAAATATTGCATAGATGATAATATTCAAGTAAAATTATATTTGACTACAACAAAAAAAACCTTGTATTATGTTAGCAATAAATAATTAAAATAAAAAACAAAAATAAAAAACAAAAAGAAACTCCAATAGATTAACAACATATATTCATGTTTTACAAATTTGAAGTAAAATAAGATTGATACATTCCAGCTGTAATGACATGTTACTCAGATTCTACATTACATTGTCAAAAAAAAAACTATAAAAATAAAAATAAAAATGAATGAAACCATCATTGTAAACTTGTATTCAACTAAAGAAGTGTAGATCCTCAAAACTTGCTTAATGACAACTAGAGTAGTATATCTACCGTTGCAAGCAAGAGCATGCCGGGCATGTTTACCATATTTATTAAAGCTCATCTCTTCATATTTACTTTGGCCACCATCAATCCCATGACTAGAATGTTTGCAACTTTTGTAACTATCCAAGTTGACATTCTCACCAAATTCATTACACCCATGGTTCTTAAAACAATTAGGGTTGACATTCTTATGTGAAGTATCATGTTCATGATCCTTGTCACCATGAAGATCAAAGCTTTCATCAAAATTGTCATGTTTATGATTTTTGTAACTATTAGAGCTTCCATTCTCATGGGAATCATGCCCGTGGTTGTGATGGTGCTCGTGGTTACCAATATTGAAGCTATAGTTTTCATGACCGAGCAAAACAATCATAGCAATATTTACAAAGAGGCCAAGTATTGCAATACCAAACATCACTGTTCCATTGACTATGTCTTTGTTGGAGTCATATAGCCTTTCAAAGGCTTCATAGAGAAGCATTCCGGTGACGAGCCAAATGAATTGGATCGATACAAGAGCACCTAATATCTCCAACCGGAAGAACCCATATGATTGAATGGCTGTGGATTCCCAACTTGAGGCCCATATTGCAAAAAGGGAGATGGCAAAGCCGGCAATATCACTAAGTAGATGAGCTGCGTCCGTTAGAATGGCTAAGCTATTTGCATACATACCACCCACAACTTCAACACACATAAAAAATATGCAAAAAATCATGGCTTTTTTAAGTTTCTTTGATGCATTTTCTCTTTCTATTTTGTCTTGTTCAATTGTATTATTGCTTTCTAAACTGCAAGTGTGGTTATTTGCACACTTCATTTTTTATTTTTTAAAAAATTGGTTACATTCTTTTCTCAAATAATATTGCATTTTATATTGTTTTCATTTGATTGTTCCTTTTTTTGTATCATGACAATAGAAATATGTGATCTAAGAATGTATTCATAATTTTTTTAAATAATATAACAATGGTAACAGAAGCCAAAAAATAACGAAATACACTTCTTCAAAATTATGGTATTGTGGCATGCTGTGAATTTATAAAAGAATTTCATAAAATCTATTGATTTTTTCATTAAAAATAAAAATGTAAATTCAAGATATAGGTGAATAACCATGTTTTCATTACTTAATCAGAAGTTGTGATTATGTCTTTACCTATTTATTAATGAGAAGAATTGGATTATTCAATAGTGTCTTTTGAAGGTGGATGATATTTGATCTAATCCACAATTCCAGTTTTTCCTTTTGCAACTTTTACAACAGAAAGTTCATAAGAGAATAATAATTTGCATTGATTGATCAATCAAAAACGAAATTTGAGAAATAAGAAATAGGATCTCCCTTTTTAAATTATTCCTGTTGACTAATATACATTTGTAACATGTAATTAGAAATTTTATTTCTGATTAACTTGACTTAACTTATGGTTATATATATATTACAACATCAATAATTAGAATACACACAAAAACTCAGTCAGTGCAGATTTTAATAGACAGAATTTCGTAAACTATTTGATACCAATAAGGTGATATAGCATACTCTTAAAAAGATTACAAATATAATTTTAAACTATTTTATCTATAGTATAAAAATAAATATTTTTTAAATTATCAGAGATTTCTTTTTTCTCTTTTATTTAAATTATTGATTTTATTTTCAAAATATAAAGTAAAATAATTCAAATATTTTAAATTGAAATATCTTTAATAAGAAATCAATAATATATATATATATATATATATATATATAAATCAACCCACCACAAGACTTCTGGTGCAATTATATTTATCACAATCTTGTGCAATAAACATATATATATATATATATATATATCCAACAAGAGGACATCCAAAGTTGTTTGCCTGAATCAATAGACAAGTCACTTGCCATGAGGAGTCTTGGGGCAACAATGGCTGAGTAAACATGTTGCATGATTTGAACCATCAATGTGCTGGGAATTTTAATGTGGAATTTTCACATAATTCCAGGACATGTTCTCAATGGCGAGTATGTATTGCATAGAATTTCGATTGATAGAATTGCACTAGAGGCTATGTAGTGGGTTAATATACACACACACACACACACACACACATATATATATATATATATATATATAACTAAAATTAATATTAAACTTCATAAAATAAATATTACATCTTTACTACAAATAAGATATAAACATAAATAAATTTATACTATCTTCTGCTGTATTTGTGTAAAAATTCCCTTTGAAGAATTTTTCAAATTATGCTCATAAAGTAAATGATCATACAAATCATGAGTATAATTTTTTAAAATTCTACAAGAGTTCTCAAATTATGGGAGTTAATTAAAAGAAAAAGAACATGATCCACTTATCATAAATGGTTTTTATAAAATACATTTAAGGGGATTTTAATCATGGTTTTTATAAAATAAATTTGAATAAATAATCTAAAAAATAATGGATAAGAAAAAGAGTAAAACAAGTCATGAAAATTTTTAAGCTTTTCAATTACTAGAAAGGTTTGGTAAGAGTTTTTAATGGCTTTATTTAATCATATTTATTACATATCTCTTCATATTGGTCAAACAGTGGCAAAAAATGTGGTACTCGTTACATTGATTGATGGGTTCTGTAAATAGAATACTAGACCTGACAAAATTTCTGACATACAAAACTTTTAAAAAATAATACCAGTGTATTTGTGACTTTTGATTATTTAATCAGGAATTGAACATGATTATACAAGAAAATCTGCATAAATTATAATGTATTTGATATCTAATGTATAAATTAATAAGAGGTCATGAAGTGCAATGAGTATTTTTATTTATTTTTTATTTTCTATTTTTTTCCATTCTAAGTATGTAGATTCTACCAATTTTGAAATATACACATCTTTTTAAATGGGTACTGTATACAAATTTTGACATAACTCTTCAATTTTCTGTAAAAATCGCCTATTTGAGGTGGACCAACCACAAATTCCAGGAGACAACATTATTTATATCATAAAGAAAAAATTGTAAAAAATACCTCCACAATAAATGAAGACAATCGCAAAAGAAAGACTTCAATTACGATTGACATTCTGTATGTTTTGAAGATTAATAACATTTTTTAATGATTCCATGAATCATATTATTAGTCTTAACATCAAAGCAGACTTTTGTTGTATGTTAGAATATAATATTAGTCAAGAAAAATATTATTAGACTAGCAATTCAGAAAATAATGATTTCTAGAAAACTTATAGAAAATAAAAAGGCTCTTGCAGCAGGACACCACTTAACTTCTATTAGATTACCTAATCAAGCAATTAAATTTTACCATGATTGCAGGGTGTTAGATTATTATGAAAAACATTTAACTTCAAACTTAATATTCCAACATTAATATTGACACCCAATGTACTCCCAATTCATTTCTTTGGGTCAATAAAATTATTCAATCCCAATAACTTAAATGAGACAAATTATCATCTGCACTTAACAAAAGCAACTATGCGGTGGACAATTCCATTGAGGACCATGCCAGGGTTAAAAGGCAGGTGAAAAACCCTCACTACTGTCCGTATTTCATACTGAACTTCAGCAACACAATCTGTGCCAATGCAAGCTTTCCTAACAAACTGCAAATCTCTACAAGAGATATTTAAACAATGAAACTCTGGTCTATCAATAAGAGTGCAACTAAATCAAACAGCTGATCTAAAAGCACCCGCTTCAGCCTCTCGCTTCATATCAGCTGCTCTTCCTTCGCCTCTGAAATATTGCGTGACACTCTGACCAAAACACACCGCAAACGACTTAAAACACAGAAACCGCAAGACAACAGTATGTTAAAAAATAAAAATAAAAATGTTTTGACACGTACGGGGAAGACAACAGCTATTGATACACAACACCCACAAACCAAGGAAATAATAAGAACCATTACAAAAGAAACTAGGCGCCCTCAACTAGGTACCACGTTGAAGACTTGGAACATGGAATTGATGTAAGAGAAATACATGTAAGAGGACGTCACTGCATGAGAGATAAACAAGACACATACCTAGTCATAAATTTGTTAAAAGATTTCTTGACAAATGACCAATCACATGAAACAAAAGATTTTAAGCTATTGCACTACACACGCTAAGTTCTTTAACAAAGGAAATCCATGGTTCTTACCTTTAAAACCCAGATGCTGAGAAGTGTTTCCAGTGTGTACAAGGCAAACCCAACCATATAAAAGATCTGATGAAAACATCAATCGTAAAGATAAGCGTTAGCTTTAGAAGACTGCGGTCAAATGCGCTGCAATTACAATCGAAGGAGCACAGTATAAACAAGAAACTGTAAAATCTCAGGAAGACTGCACACTTACGCCAATAATGAGCTTCTGAGAGAAAAGGTCAAGCGCTGGTATGATTCCCCTGTATCAACAACCTCGCAATTTAGTCACGTGACTTGCATGATTGTCAACATCGAGAGTGAGTTTCAATAAACTGGATAAACGATGTTGTGTAAAAAGATAATCACAATTCAAATGCTAGTAAAAAAAAAATGGTGAACTGGTTATGTTCTTAGTACGTGTTTTGTAAAATTAGACGAATATCTAGTTTAGCAGTCGAGCCCTCAACGTAGAATTCCATGAACTTCTAAGACTCGGGTATCCTCTTACTTTTGTTTAAGTAGCTACTGAAACCGTACAAATTATATATAAATATAAAAGAAGATGCAGTGTCTGATATTCAAGAAAGATCCAAGAGCGATCTCATGCGAAACTACGATTCTCAATTTGTGGTCTAGATGAAGAGGGTTTGATGGCATCTTGACACTTACGCAAGTGACTTTCCTTTGAAGATGATGGGCGGAGCAACAGCAGCCAACACACAAAATGCAATGTGGAGCTACACAAGGAAAAAGGACACTAGTTCAACTTCAAATCCTGGTACATCATGGCAACCAAAAGTGAAAAACTAGCTAACACAATGCTTTTAGAAAGTCTAAAGTCCATCGTGCTTTCTCTTACTTATTAATGGACAAGATATAGAAGGATAGGGACCGAAACTGAACTTACCAGATAGAATATCAGGAACCAACCAAATCTCAGAACACTATCGGACCTGTCCATGCCCAAAAATAACAGCTGAGTAATGAACGAATAGGTAAGTTAAAAACTAAAGAAGCATAATCATGTAACTAAACCACAACTGCTTATCACCAACTTCAAGTACAAGGAATACCACATCTGTGATTTACAGGCTTTATTTCTTGCATTCCCAAGACTACACGTACAGGAACATGAAACAGTTTTAAGTCAAAGAAGTAATCATGAATTAGCTATTTAACAAAACCATGATATTGTCCTGAAAGTCGAGCAACAATTAAGAGCTAAATGTACACTGAAATTTTTTACTACATAACTTCTACCGACTTTATCAAGAAGTTTGAAATTTGAACGAATTTAGTACCTCATTGCCCGGTAGAGAGGCCTATACCACAAAAAATACGACATGGGATAACCAGCCAGCACGTAAATAATACCAAGAAGAAGAATCTGCACACCTGTTACCTTGAAGTTGTCAGTGTACTGAAAATTTCCACCACACCCTGCTAGAATACATCCCATGAACCAGCTGTCTAACTACTTGGAAGTAAGAGAAGACATTCAGCAAATAGACAACAGGGTGCCTCAGTTCTTACCACCAACATTAGCAATAAGCGCTGAAAGCACGCAAACGAAGTTCCAAAAGAGACAGAGTAGAATTCCTGATTGAAATATATAAAACAATGAGTACAAGAGTACGAAAAATTGAAAGAATGAGGGTTATTTGAATTGCCCACACAATGCTCCAACATTATAGCAACCTGCAACTACAATGATCAGAGAACAATCTGGACAGTAGAGACTTTGCTCCTGCAGGTGAAAACACCCAAACTACGCCACAGATACCTCTAATCGTTAACCTCTTGTATCCCATATTCCAAGCTTACTCACTACCAAGTCGATACAGCATAATTGCAAGAACCAATTGCTGGGGTTAACTGTTGCAACATATTCGAAGTTATTTTAGAGGTTACCTAACCAACTTGCATAAGCCCAGCGCATCAATCCCCGCGAGTGTGCTGGAATATCATTAGCGATATCATGATGAAGAATGTGGATGAAAGGTGGCCAGTTTCTAGACTCTATCGAAACGCCAGCTGCAAAAATGCGTTCAGAGTAAGATGCATATGTAATACACATTGCACACATCCCTCCGAATGATCAAATATTTGCCAAAATAAACACCAAACCAAAATGATACTGAACTTGTGTAAAACTGTTGCTGAAAGAATCTTACACATAAAACATCAAGAAATATGAATACTAGAGACATAGAGGTACACAGATAGTCTTCTGAACACTTCCGGATATAAAGCTGTAAAGCAAAACCAACGTGTGGCTTTCGTGAGGACTATAATAAGAGTACCTCTTGCAACAGCATCCTCCCTGCGTTTCAACTCCTACACTCCCACAAAAAGGCTCATAAGGTTACTGAAGATACTCGAAATAGAAACCACTCTGCACAAACTGCTAACGAAAGCTAACAACAGAGAGTTCGGCAACCAATCCTTCTCCAGTGACATAATCGTTCATAGAAAAATAAGTTAAGCCCACTTCACTTGTTCAACTAATCATAATTTTAAAATGATGAGTCATTGATGCGTTTATGTTTGTGTACGTGAATGTCAAGCTAATAATACAGATGCTTTGAAGGTTATCTGGCGCATCTTCGCTGCTCCATCGTGGAAGTCGCTAACTCTTTAAAGTAAGGGTACACAACAGAGAGCGCTGTAGAACAGCCCTAGAATGGAAAGAAAGGGAATGCACGCGTACTTGCTCTTTTCTCCTCAATTCTTCTTCCTTGGCTTTCAGCTCTTTCTCCTTCTTCTTGTAGTCCTGTTCACACATCGAAAACTTCAGCAAAAAAAAAAAGAACAAAGAAGCGACACTCGAATTGCTGAAGTATCTCATTAATCTTGAGGTCTAAATTCATTTTATCGCACTCACCAACGGGGCCTTACTCACTCCTGAGAACGCTGATTCATGCGAATGAGAAGACGATCTAGAGTTCGAAAACAGATTTTCAAGTTTCTTCCGCTCAATGAGATTGCGTAGTATTACACGGGAACACATATTCTCTCACTTCTAACTTTATAAGCAACATGAGCCAAAAAAATCCTTAAAAAACTGAACAAGTCATCTAGCCAAGTCCTACTGTTTTTCTCAATTCGGTGAGTAATCTGGTATCCTTTACTCGAAATTCCGTTCCCTTTTATCTTTTATTTTGTCTAACACGTATTAGGCCATCACAAAAGACAAAGGGTTTTTTATGCGTCCACTTTACGGCCAACGCTGAGCGTACCGACCAATTATCCAGTTAAACAAACTACAAGATAGGAGGAAATTACGTTTTTTTATTTATTTTATTTTTTTATGAGCTTAGTATTAATACAACTGCCATTAGCATTTTTATCAGCAAAAGAAGAGATAAAGAAACTTAATTGCTTTGCTTACACGGTAGAAGTTTTCTGCATCTTATCATGTAATAAAATGTACTTAGAGATACTTGATCATGGATCAATCTGTTCATCATAATGACACTCTACCTTTCGATCGTAAACATGAATAGACACGAGTCATAGAATACAATGGTATATAAATGAGGTGAAATGTTACAGATAATGTGTGTAAGTTTCATATCCTGTTCATCATACATGTGTTGAGTAACGAAGGATCGATTGGCACAACTTAGTACAACTTAGTACAGGTAACATACCGAGCCATTAAAGAGGCCATTACCGTCATAAGACGGCTTCGCTGCCTGCGCCCGCACCACGGGATCCTGCAGCATTGACACATTCTTAACAAGTTCGTAAGCTTGTTTCGTCCATTGAGGGTATCGCTATGCAACTCGCCGGGGATTCAAACACAAAGCAGCCAATTTCTGAGGATTTTATGCCGCTCAGGAAGAGAAAATATAGCAAGCTTAAGGCAGAGAATCTGCATCACTACATTATCACCTGGTATTTTATTTTATTTTATTTTATTTTTTAAATATACATTTTTAAAATTTCTCGAAAAGGTTAAAGAAAGAAGACTGTTGACAAGAACAAAATACCCGTACTCTTGTAACAACTGTATCATTTTCAAACGCTGCTAATGTGCATGAGTTAATAGGGCATCTACTGCTTCAAAAGGAAAAGCACATTCAACATCATGAAAAAATGGTCTATTAAACTGAGAGACCCAACCTCTGAAAACCTTGAAAAGGTTGAAAGAGGGTCCAAAGCTAGAACCGATCCCACGGTTAAGAGCATATCTTTACATACCACTAAATGTACAAGAAATAGAAAACGGACTTTTCAGGGGTTGTGAAGAATAAACACCAACAGCAGCATCAACACCTTTGCGAAGCAACAACAAATCACGAAAAAAATAAAAATAAATCAAAAATCAAAAGCGACACTCCCAAACTACAGAACCCCAGCTGCAGGTGCACTTACAGAGAACGGATTCACTTCTTCCTCCGCCTCATCAAACGGATTTCTATCATAACGGTCCGCCATTTCCAAATCTCGTGGATTTTCCCGTCGTCACTACCCAACTACCTGAATTCCCAAGTTCTCAGAACAGCAACCCTGTCACTCACACCCACAATCCCCTCGCACCTCTCGCTTCAACACGCCCAAATCCACCGAAAATCCCGCCAAACAACCGCTACCTAACCTTTGCTGCCCTTGCGCAAACAACAAAAATAATGCAGACCCTTCTCCTCCTCCTCCTCCGCCACTGCTGCTCCACTACCCAGTCAAAAACAGCAGCCGAGTCGGAAATTGGAAGAACGCAGCTCGAAAAGTCACTCTGCAAGTCGGCAGAAGGATCAGTTCATGGCTCAGAGGAGAATGTGCGACGCAAGGAAGACGTGAAAATAGCAAAGCGACGCAAGGAGAGGCGCAGCGGAGCTGGTTCGGAAGCTGCAAACGCGCGCATCCCAGCAGGAGCAGCGGGAGCAGCAGGAGCTGTGGGACTGAATGAGGCTAAACTTCATTCATCTCTCATCCATGTGTATTCTTCATCCTCCGGATATCATCTGTTTCTCACTTCCTACATTCATCCGCCCATTCATTCATTCATATGCATCTTTTGGTTGGCCGCTCTTGTATGTCTGGCCCCACTGTCCTATAAGGTCCCCCCCCCCCTTTTGGTGAGGCAACCCATTGCTCGTCTTGTTTGCCCTTATTTAAACACTTCTTGAATTCATGCTTTCTACTTTGCATTGTGAGGCTTGTAGAGCTCATATTGTTTGCTTTTCTTGAGTTTCCAATATTTTTGGAATTTCATTTGTGGGAGTTCAAATTATGGTGTTGGGATGTGATGAATTAAACTTAGCTTAATTTACGTACAAAGAATAAGAAAAAAAATTATGTTAAAATTCTTAATAAAAAAATTATTGTTCTTTTACATGAGCTTAATGATGTATTAACAAGCTTTTTTCTGTAATAAAGGAATGGATGATTTGTTAACTTGATAGTGTGAAAAAATTTACAATATTATTGTAATCTGTTTCATCACAATATGTTTAATATCTTGAGTTTCATATTGTTTTTTAAACTAAATTCGTGCAAAAGGTAAAGATAGTTTCTACACTATCAATAATAACAAGTAGATGTATATGAAATATAATGTATTTACTCTACTTTGTCTGTAATCACATACAGTAGTATAAAAATGTAACAATAGTGGAACTTGAAACATAAGAGCCCAACATGAAGGGACATGAAACAGTATAACATGGGCTTGATTTTGAACTCATATTAATTCTTCATGATCAGTACAAAATTTTATGTATTTTCTTGGGTGTTTTATATATGAAAAAGAAAAGAAAAAATTAATGTATAAAATATTTTAGTATAAAAATACAAACAAAAAAATAAACGTATTAACATATTAATAATTCTACAAGTAACTTTGAGCCTAGATCTTCTTGAGAAAACTTATTTGTATTTATGTTTTTATTTACTTATTATTTTTTCTATTTCAAAAGATCTTTATTACATATAAATAGGATTTTAAAAAATTAAAAACAAACTTAATGTTATAATCTCAAATATTCTAAGTATAATTTTTTTTATTTGAAATTTATTAAAATATTTACTATTTTTTAAAATTATTTGTATAAATTATTTTAAATATATTTATTAATCAAAAGTAATACAATTCAATGTTTCTTCCTTGTAAGTAGTGGCATTAAGGCAAAAAAATCCATACAAATTTAAAGTTTATTATTTTTCTTGGAAACAATTGAAGATAACAAAGTAATTTGATTAACAAGATTTATAAATCTAATATTAAGAAAATGGTTGATATTATTGTCTCAAGGATATGAATCACAAAAGACTGAAGGGTTAGTACATTCTTGGCTCACTAGAAAAGAGTAGATAATTACTTAAAGATGTTATAATATTAAATTAAAATGGCTATTGTCAAAGACAAAAAAGCTGGAGACTCTTGAAACAAGACCAAGCACAAAAAATGTATTAATAAGAGTAAAGAAGTCTTCACTCTTGCCTCTATATATACTATTTAATTAAGAGCTATATAGTGATGTTCTATAGGACCTCCAACATGTGTTTAACTTGTAAGACAAGTTTCCTATATGTGCAACATGTAGCCAAGTTATTGGCTAAGTTTCCAATCTACCAATCAACTACGCATACATATAAAATCAATTCCACATCTATAAAACTTTTAAAAAGCTTTTCCACAAGCTACTATCAAATCTATATATATTTACTTTCTATCTAATACTTCTTATTTAAATAATTATGTATGTTTGTAATATCTTCTGAACTACCTTTACATAATTAGAATTTATGTAGTATTATTTTTAAGAGTGTTCTTTCTTGGTTTTCACCTTTGACTTTTAAAATTATTATAATATTCTTTCTAAGAGTATTCTTTCTTGGTTTGAACCTCTAATGGAAAAAAATCACAATAATTCTATGATTTGAATTCATTCTTTGAAGTGTTTATGGCTACATTTAGAGAAAGTAATAAAAAAAAATATAGTAGGGATTAAGCTTGTATTTCTATGATAAAGATTATATTTAGCCAATATATATGGTGTTGAATTTTAAAACCTTATCTATAATGTGGATTGGAATAAAAAAGCCCTAATCAATCAATTTTGATATGAATTGAAGGATAATATCAAAGATTTATTGTTGGCAATGTTGAGAGCAAATTTATTGGAAAAATTTATTATTCAAGCCATTGTATGTGATAATTGACTTTTTAAAAGACATCAAGAATAAAGATTTGGATCAAAAGCTGCAAGTTAAGTCATGGCAATAACTTCTAAGTTTTTGGAAGCTTATTTATCTAAGGTAGAGCTTATGCAAATTGACATTGTATGTTTTAAATCTCTTATTAAATAAGAAAAAAATTCATTGTTATTAAAAATATTTATTCCTATATTATGGATAATTTAAGCATAATATTCAATATTATCCAAAGAAGTCGTATAATTACAAAATAAAGAGCATCGTTGCTAAAGAAGATAATATATTTGAAAATAAGTTTTCTTAGTTATAATAGGAATTATAGGGCATGAGTCTTGTACAATACTTTATTAAGATCATATTCTCTTTTTAGATTCCTCACTTTGTTTTATAATAGAAGTTTGTTTAAGATAAAAAATCACAAAGTCTTAGCCTTGTTAGATTGAAGAATCTTAGCCTATTTTATAGACAAAGAATTTGTTAAAAAATAATCTTAATTAAGAAAATCCAACTTGTGCATGTAGAAATAATAGATTAATGTTCATTGTCTTTTAAAGATATTATCTGTAAAAAAATTGTTTTAGATGTAGCAACTAATAATTGTGATTTAATAATATTTAATATGATTAGATATTTTTTAATATAATTATTTTAGGATTACTGTAGCTAAAAAAATATAACCCTCAAATAGACTAAATTTTTCATAACCTTGATTTTTTTCATAATTTAGCCTAAGATTTTACTAGTCAAGTAGAAATCCATAAATCCAATATAATCAAATCTTTGTTAATAGGTGCAAGAACTTTTATGCATGCTAAAAAAGAAGGGTAAACTTTTTCTATATACATAATATCTATTTTTGATAGAAAAAAGTTCTTAAGTGGTATTTTAAGCAAATATCAAGATTATTAAAATCTTTTTGAAAACAAAATGCAAATAGTTTTTTAAAGCATTGTTTTTATGATTGTTCCATTGATCTTCAAGAAAGAATTCAAACACTATTTGGAACAATCTATAGCCTATCACAAAATAAATTGGCTATATTAAAAGAATGTATTGACAAAAATTTGGCTAAGAATTTCTGTCAAGGACGAGAACTTGATAAAATAAATAAACAAATGACATTTTTTTCAAAGAAAGATGATAAAATAGAAATAATTAAATATGTATATTAAGAAAGAAATTGGAATGGCTATTGCCAAAAGACAAGAAAACTAGAGACCCTTAAAACTAGAGACCCTTGAAACTAGACTAGAACCAAGAAAAGAGTTGACAAGAGTGAAGAAGGCTTCACTCTTGCCTCTATATATACTATCTACCTAGGAGCTATATGGCAATGTTCTATAGGACCTCCAAAAACGTGTTGACTTTGTACAACATGTATTTTAACTTGCAAGGTAAGTTTTCTATGTGGGCACCACATAGTTAGCTTGTTCCACACGCTATCAACATGTGTGGCACGTGGTTAACTTATTGACCAAGTTTCTAACCTACCAATCAAGTATAAATACATATAAAATCAAAGCAACGTCTACAAAGCTTCTAAGAAGCTTCTCTAGAAGATATTATGAAATTAATCTACTTTTATCTACTTCTACTTATTCATATCACCTACGTAACAATCATAGTAAATATATGTCCATAAAATTATTCCCCCCTTCTAGGGACGAGTTCCACGAGGAGCGGTGATCACATGTCAAGGAAGTCTAACATGCGACAAATTATATTCGTCACATACTCTGATCTTTATTCTCTTTAAAGATGATTGTTAGGACTTCTCAACTAGCAATAGTGTCCCATATTAAGGCAGAAAGATCAACCAGTTATTTGATCATTGTTGAGGCCTTCATAACTTCCTTCAAATAAAACATTTGGAACACTGTTAGGAATTGTTCCTACTTCTAATAAAATTACCAAACATCGGGAGTCCCTTCCAAAGTTGTGATACCAAATGCGTTGTATCTTGCCATCTATTTGAAGAAGAATATGTTGTTCTTGAGGATCTTCATCTCGATTGTATTATCTTGAAGGTTGTGACAATTATAATATCTCGTTTGATAGGTTAGCAAACAAAGGCTCTTGAGTCAAATCCGTGGTTGTTGATTCTCCATCTCTTTGGCGTTACAAATACAAAAAAGCTACAAACAAGAATTAAAAGTAGAATGTTACCTTGCTTAGATCTTATTTCTTTTATAAAGAAGGTTATCATTTTGATTTTGATGGATGCCATTGATGAAAAGCATCCACCATCTTTTTTGCATTTGCATGGATATCTTGTCCATTGGCACGGATATCTTGTCCATTTACAAGATATCTTGTCTAATTTATAATATCATATCCGTGCCAATAGACAAGATATTTCAATTTATTTTGGGACCACCTTGAATCTACGACTTCTTCCACTTCAAATTCTTCATTATTGTCCACTTCTATGAGAGGAGGTGGAGCTTGTCTTCTCTTTGGTATGTCCACTGTCTTGTATGGTTCAAGAAGAGACACAAGGAATACTCGATGGATTTTCATTGACTCTAGTAGGTATAAACAATATACAACTGGATTGATTTGTGTAGAAATAGAAAATGGTCCAAGCCTTCGATAGTCTAACTTGTCACAAAGACAAGTAGTCTTCATATTACGACGAAGTAACCATACCCTGTCATTCATGTGGAATGGTGGTTATTCCTTTTGATAGACATCCGCATTGATTTTTTGTTGTTCTTAAACT